TACTAGGTGGTAGGCGTGGATGCAGTGCTGGGCCGGCGCGCGTGAGCGGCTGTGCCCCACCCCACCCCACCCCAAACCCCCCACCCCCGCCCACCCCTCCCCAAGACCCGTTGCGCGCGAGCGGGTGTGCGCTAGGTAGCAGGCATGCACGCAGTGCTGGGCGGGTGCACGTGAGCGGGTGCGCTTTTTAGGTGGGAGGCGTGAATGCAGTGCTGCGCGAGCGCGCGTGAGCAGGTGCCCCACCCCGGACCCAACCCCCACCCCCACCCCCACCCCCACCCCGCCCCCCCTCCCCAATATCCCACCCCATCTGTGACGCGTGAGCGGGTGCGCTTGCTAGGTGGCAGGCATGTGCGCAGTGCTGGGCGGGCGCGTGTGAGCGGGTGTGCCCCACCCCACCCCAACCTCCCCAAAGCCTGACCCCAGCCCAGCCCACCCTGAGCAGGCGCTCATTAAGGCGGCAGGCATGTGTTGCACGTGAGTGGGCGTGCTTATCAGGTGGCAGGCATGCGTGCAGCGCTGGGCGGGCGCGCGTGAGCGGGTGTGCTTATTAGGTGGTAAGCGTGGATGCAGCGCTAGGCGGACGCGCGTGAGCGGGTGTGCCCCACCCCGCCCCGCCCCAGCCCCCACCCCCACCCCACCCTTCCCCAATACCGCACCCCATCTGTTGCACGTGAGCGGGTATGCTTATTAGGTGGCAGGCATGTGCTTACCATTCCCCCGCCTCCCCACCCACCCCCCACCCCTTCGGGCTACTCTTCCGCATGCGTGGAAACAGCGCTGAGCGGGTGCACTTGAGCGGGTGTGCTTACCATTCCCCCCTCCCCCCCACCACCCCCCCCCCTGAGCGGGCGCCTTGAGCGGGTGTGCTTACCAATCCCCCCCCCCCCCCCCCCACCCTGCCAAAAGTGTGTGTGTGTACAGATGAGCCAGATGACAGAAACCTTGTGTGCGCAGATGATCCAGAGTGCATGGCGCAATAAGTGAGGAAAGCCTGTGTGTACAGATGATCCAGATTTGTGTGCGCAGATGATCCCCTGCCCCCAGGTGGGCCAACGGGCCGGCGCCGAGCCGCCTTCCCGCTTGAGCCCAGGCCTGCCTTTTCGTTTCACCCTGCTTTTGCGGTCGGAAAACAGTTAACAACAGCTCTGTGTTAAGACCTCCGTGTTGTGGCCCCGGCCGAGAGACAAAACAAAGAGGAAAAAAAGAAAGAAACACAAGAAACAAAAAGAGCCCGAAAAAAACAAAACAAGACCTGGCGCACCAACTGGAGCAGCAGCAGCCACTGCCACAACCACAGCAACAGCTGCCGCTACCACGGCAACAGCAGCCGCAACAGCGGCTGTGCCAGCACCAGCAGCAGCACCCGCAGCACCGGCCTCCAGCCTGCCGCACGGCGGGGCCAAGATGGCGCCCAGGCAGGCACACCGCCGCCCCCCAGGCAGGCACACCGCCACCCCCTGGCGGCGGCAACAGCAGCAGCAGCAGCAGCAGCAGCAGCAGCAGCAACAGCAGCAGCAACATCAGCGCCAGTGCTACCTGACAACACCCAGAAGAGCAGCCGACCACGCAGCTTGGAAGCACTCTTGTCTCCGTTGATGGCCAAGCCATGTTGCTGTTGCAGGGGCTCCTATCCCTGCCATCTCTTCCGTGTTCTCGTCCTGCGCCGCGCGCTCCCCTTGCCTTTTGCTGAGCGCACCTGCCGGCGCCGTCGCCTTCTCAGGCGTGCTCCGGGGACGCGGTGTCCGCTGGAGCGTGCGGCCACACGCAGGGCAAGAGTCACCTCCAACACACGCCTTGCGGACTTGAACTTTCAAGTTGATCGGGTGGACGATAGGCGGCTGGAGGTTGTGGACAATGGTGGGCGGCGGGCGGTGGAGTGATGAGGCCGCCTCCTTCATCCGGTCCTTGGCCCGGGCGCGCTAGCCCGCGCCCCAGTGTTGTCAGCAGTCCTGTTGCCACGTGGTCGGCCCAGCTGACCCACGCAGCCATGACAGCCTTTGCTTCGTCCCTTCTCAGGCAGGCTGCCGGGCCTGAGCTTTGCAATGTCGGGGGTGGCACCCTGCCTCCCCTCGGCACCTTGCTGGCTGATCTTGCCCACACGCCACCGGCGGGCGCATCCCGCTTGCCCGGCGGGTGAGCCGCGAAGCCGGGAGCCGCCGGCTACAAATGGCTGGCCCCTTGATGCCCCCTAAGCACATCCGGGGGCCGCCGGTATATAAGTAGCTTGAAGGAGCAGACGGAAAAAGGCGCGCGCAAAAAACTAGACCACGGTTGGCCCGAAAGCATAACATCGCAAGCGAGGTCGGTCCAACGCCTGGGACATACGCAAGTTGCTCTGCGCAAGCTGGTCGGCGCAGGTTGGTCTGCGCAAGTTGCTCTGCACAAGTTGCTCAAGGTGCTCTGCGCAAACTGGTCTGTGCAGGTTGGTCTGCGCAAGTTGGCGCAAGTTGCTCTGTGCAAGTTGCTCCGCGCAAGTTGCTCCGTGCAAGTTGGTCCCTGCAAGTGGCTCCCTGCAAGTTGCTCTGTGCAAATTACTACGTGCAAGTTGCTCCTTGCAAATTGCTTTGCGCAAGTTGCTCTGTGCAAGTTTCTGTGTGTGCACAAGTTGCTCTGCGCAAGTTGCTCTAGGCAAGGCGCTCTGCGCAAACTGGTCTGTGCAAGTTGCTCTGCCCAAGTTGCTCTGCGCAAAAATGTCTGTGCAACTTGCTCTGCGCAAGTTGCTCTCCGCAAGTTGCTTTATGCAAGTTGCTCCGCACAGCTTGCGAAGCCCGCCCGCGGACCAGGGGGGAATCGAACCCGCGACCCGAGGACCAGCGAGCACCGTACAAACCGTAAAAAATCCACGAGTTTTTGCACCTCGACCACGCCGATCCCCGCAGAGGGACGCGCGGGCCAAAACAAAATTGAAAAAAATCAAAAAACACTTCTGAGTTTTTGCACCTCGACCACGCCGATCCCCGCAGATGGTCGCGTGGGCCAAAGCAAAATCGCACAAAAAAAACTGAGTTTTTGCACCTCGACCACTCCCCGCAGAGGGTCGCGCGAGCCAAAACAAAATCGCACAAACCACGAGTTTTTGCACCTCGACCACGCCAATCCCCGCAGAGGGTCGCGCGGGCCAAAACAAAATCGCAAAAAAAGCACCACGAGTTTTGTTGTTCGAACTGGTCCTCGGGAGTTGTCTCGTGGTTCGTGCCCCCGGGGCCGGCGGATCGCGGGTTCGATTCCCCCCTGGTCCGCGGGCGGGCTTCGCAAGCTGCGCGGAGCAACTTGCATAAAGCAACTTGCGGAGAGCAACTTGCGCAGAGCAAGTTGCACAGACATTTTTGCGCAGAGCAACTTGGGCAGAGCAACTTGCACAGACCAGTTTGCGCAGAGCGCCTTGCCTAGAGCAACTTGCGCAGAGCAACTCTCGCAGAGCGCCTTGCACAGAGCAACTTGCACAGAGCAGCTTGCACAGAGCAACTTGCAGGGAGCAACTTGCACGGAACAATTTGCACAGAGCAACTTGCAGGGAGCCACTTGCAGGGACCAACTTGCACGGAGCAACTTGCGCGGAGCAACTTGCACAGAGCAACTTGCACAGAGCAGTTTGCGCAGAGCAGCTTGCAGGGAGCCACTTGCAGGGACCAACTTGCACTTGACTCCATGCATTTGCGACTTGCACTTGGCTCCTTGCACTTGCAACTTGCACCTAACTCCTTTGCACTTGCTTGACTCCATGCACTTGGCTCCTTGCAACTTGCAATGACTCTCATGTCTCCTTGCAATGACTCCTTGCAATGAATGCAACGACTCCTTGCAATGACTCCTTGCAACAATGACTCCTGGCAATGACTCCTTGTAATGACTCCTTGCAATGACTCCTTCCAATGATTCTTTGCAATGACTCCTTGCAATGATTTTCATGATGATGATTCCTTGCAACGACACCTTGTAATGACTCTCATGCGAACAATTCTTGTGAACCCAGCGGAAGAACCCTTCGCCATGCTTTCGGGAAAAACGACTTGTACAACAAGACAACAAATGTGGTAATGGCCTTGAGCCGTGAGCCTTGAGCCAGTGTGGAGCGGCGTGACGGGTAAAATCTTGCATATGCACGTTGGAGATGAACATGAAGAACAATGAGAGCGAACTGCTGCGTGTGAGCCTCCTGCCATGCTGTTTTCTAGTTCCCTAGTCTGGGTGGACGGGTGGGTCGATTGGTAGGTGGGTGGCCCAACCCATCAAACTTGACGTGGACGTTTCAACATTTGTTGGAACGGTTTGGCAACTTGTGCAACGCCAATGCCATCTGACAGTCTTGACGTGTGTTGTGGAGGTTCATGAGGGCATACGGACCCGGCTGACAGCGGGGTGAGATAGCATCCCAAAATGATCAAGCATGAGGCGCCTTATTTCAGCTGGAATGGAGCCAGCCGGCTGCGCGAAAAAGGCAAAAGGCCCGGTGTCAGGGGCACAAGCAGAAGCAACAGAACAGTCTCCCCTGGCCAGTCCAACTGACGGCGACGCCCCGGTGCTGAGTGAGCTCCCCCCCCCCGCCCCTTGCAAGCCGCTTGAGCAGGTGAGGACGCCGGCCTCCAAAAAAACAACGTGAGTGCCCGCGGCTCGACTCGTGCTGATGCAAAAGGGCAGGTGTGTTGGTTTGGACATTGGGCATCCACTGTCGACTAGCATCGTCCATCGCAACCCATTCGTCCATTTCTAGCAGTCAAAACTGGCAACAGCCAGCAGGCCCAAAAACTTGAAATTTGAAAACTTAACATGCAGTATGGCAATCAGATGTAGTTATCCTGTGATGTGCACAATCGCAGCCCTCCATGCATTTGCGCTCGAAAAAGTTGGCGACACACTGATTGGGCAGCTTTGTTGTGCGCGTTTCCATTTTTTTGACCCCCTCGCTTTTGCAGAGAAAACTCGGCTCATGGTGGAGACGCATCAACCTAGGGTTGGAACAGAAAATCGAAGTCTGATTTGCTGCGAAAAGTATACTGAAGCCATTTGCTCTCAAGTCAGATACTCCCGGCGGGCGCTGGTTTGGCTTGCGAGCCGATCCGATGGGAGGTCTAGGTGGTGGGATTTCCTTTTTCTCACTGGTCATCCTTTCCCGTCTCCAGGCGGTGCAAAGCCATGCTTACTTGGCAGACCCACCAAGTCGGAACTTGGTCAGGGCGACTGCGGGATTCGAAGACTGCCCACACTGCCTGAACTCGAACGGCCCCAGCAACGTCGCCACCAGGGGTAACAATGTGTGGCCAACCCGCCTCGCCCCAGAGGGCCACGGCCTGTGTGGTGATCCCGTCCAGGGCCACGCCAATCCCCCGACCTTGGCGGACGAGGAATATCTTGTGCCAACAGATGCACAGAAAACCTACACCGCAGGGAGCGTGGTGGAGTTTCGGGTCGTGGTCTCAACGCACCACACTGGCCACTACGAGTACAGGCTTTGCAATACCGTTCTCGATGGGGCCACACTTCAGTCCAGCAAAGAGGCCGCCGGTTTGCCCAACAGAAACCGCCACGAAGTTGTTTCTTTCGATTATTTACAACTTGTACATCCAAATAGATCCAAATAGCGGTGCTTGAATCTGAAAGAGGGATCGAGGCAGTCACGCAGATTTGCCGCGCAGGCGCAAGATTGCCTGGACAAAGTCATTTTGCAGCGTGCTGACCCTCCAGCCGACTGTGTTGTCAACGACCAGCGAGGCCACAGTGGGACAAGAAAGCTAGCATGTAAGGGCATATCCAGGTTCCCCATTACATTGTCGGTTTGATTCTTAACCCTCCATGGTGAGGCGATTGCCAGCCGATCGACGTGGAGAATCCTGGGCGGTGGTACCTGCCCCCGCGCGGTGCAAATCCGCCTGGGGGGGCGTCCTGGAGCAGTGGCTTGCCGTCGGTGACAGAGGTTCGCAGCTTAGAGACATTCTGCAACCAGAGACTCCTGTACTCCCCCACTGACCCTGCAAACGGCGGTTTCCAGGACGGATGCAAAAAACCAAAAACGGCAAGCGCCAAGTTCTTGAGGTCCACACCATGAAGTATATCATCCCTTTCAACTTCACATGCTCGAAGTGCACGCTGCAGTGGTACTATGCCACTGCCAACAGCTGCCTGCCCGACAACTCATACAGGACGCAGCGGCAGCCGACAAAACGCGTGAGAGACAGCCCCAGTTGCAGTTGCAGTCTTTCAGCGGGCGACAATTGCAGGGTTCCCAAAGTTAGGGGCGCAACGTGGGAACCTGGTTTCTCAAGTCCAAGAAGGTTCACCTGAAGCCACACATGGTTTCATCCAATGCAGTTTCAAGCCCAAGGCGATTTCCCAAACGAAGAAGAGACGCCCGAGCAACTTGGAGGACATACTTTCAGAAGCTTCAGAGCCTGGGTTGGGATGCTTCGAGTGAGGCCCTCAGATGTTGGCCACGGCGCCATTCGCGAAAGACAGCGTGAGGGTGTCGAGATTCCTTGTTTGTGTTTTGTGAGGGCTGGCTGAAAGGGAAACCAAAAGGCAGCCCAGCCCCTCCAAACCGGGTCTAAGCGCCCATTTTGAAGCCCTTACTCATTATTCCATATGGTTTCAATATCCCATGTTCCCCACATGCCCAATGATCCTAGCAGGTTGTGTCAGGGGGCCCCCTGCAAACGTTGAAGTGACTATACTCCATTTCAAGGGAAGCCAAATGGAGGGGTCTTTTCCGTGTTGAGACACCCACGCGGGTCTCACAGGTTGAGCACATTTCCAACATTCCCAACATTGGTGTTTTGTTTTGAGGATGCCCCCCTTGGGCATCGGGTCGACACCAAAAAGACCGGGTCGCTGTTGAGAAGCGCCCACATGACTTTTTTGATCGCCGCCGGCCAAACCAAACTGAGCTGACGCCCGAGGCTGGAGCGCCTGGGCCGTGGCCAGCTGGGCCACCTGCGACGCCGCGTGCTGTGGGCCCCAGGGCCGCGGCACCTTCGGGGAGGAGTTCTGGAACTGCGCGGACGTGGCGCCTTGCTTGGGCATGGGGAGGGGGATGCCGCGGGGAACTGGCAACTGGCGTTAGTTGGTTTTTGGGTTTGAGGTCTTTGGCTATTTTGGCAGTGGGGTCTTTGGTTGTGGTTTTGAGGTCTTTGGTTTTGGTTCGAGCGGGTCACCGTTACGTCTGATGATTCTCGCGCCCGGACTCCTGCGCATTCACAGAGGCTGTGTTGGAGGGGAGCGGGACGTCACCGTCGCAGTCGACCTCTTCCCCTGCGACGACGGCGCCAACAACCACTGGGGTGCGCTCGAAACGATCCAAAATCCAAAACGGGTTGGAGATGTGTGTGTCAAAAGAAAGAGTCATAGATGTTTTGCAGACCCTTGACCAGGTCACCGCTACGACTACCACCACCCCATCAGGGCCTTGTTCAGCCATCTATGAGCAATGCGGCGGGAACAACTGGAATGGTCCAAAATGCTGTCAATCAGGCTCAGGGAGTTCAATTTCTTGCAGGAATGTTCGATTTTGTGGACACACTGCTTCAACTTGCTTGACACATTTCCCTTCTTTTGCAGGCACCTACTGCAAATTCTCGAATGAGTGGTACTCCCAGTGTCTTGCGGGCACGGCTTCAACAACCGTACCTCCAACGACGACGTCAACGACAATGCCCTCCTCCACAGGAACTGTCACAACGACTGCTGCTATTCTGCACTCATGTTGTAATTCCCCAGCTGTGGCCAGAGGCTTGTGAGTCATGAGGCTTCCACCGGCACCAGCCAGTGCTCATGCTCTGCGAGTACTTCGTGGGAAGGCTTCTCAGCCGTCAGAGTCAGAGTCTGCCTGGCATCGCAGGGCCGTGTGCGCTAAGGATCCTTTCGTCAATTTGCTGCTTCGCTTGGAGGCCAGGAAAGTTCTCCCTGCATTGTCCCTTCATGAACATTCTTCATGCAGCTGGCTGATTGAGTGCTTTTGCCAGGAAACTCCAACTTTTGCAGCCAGAACTTCGGCGGTTCTGGACCGTACATTTCTGGAGGAGGTGGCGCCGGTTCGTCCGGTGGCTGGAGCGGAACAGAGCCGTGTGAATCTGGCCAGTATAGCTTTAGTCACTTGGCAGGCAGTTTTTTCAGATGATTGCAGTTCACTTATCAGTCAGCTCGCTTCTCATCAGCTGCTTCCTTGTTTGCAAGAATGCCGCTCGTTGGCCAAGGCGAGGATGGATGGAAGATCAGCGTTTCCGCTGCCCAGGGCACGAGCAAGACGCCCTACCGCGCCTTCGCTTACCTGAACTTCTGCGGGGGCAGCGCGTACAGCGGCTGCTGGGCCAGTGATGTCAATGTCTTCTCCTTCGCGTACAAGACCTCCGGTGCAAGGAGCACCCCCACATGTCTTTGGAGACCCACGCAAGCGGGTGTGTCTTTTTGAAACCCTTTGCGGCGTTCTGTTCGCGGGACACAAAAGGGACCCGCAGTTCTTAAGACCCGCAGAACCGTGCAAGAAAGCCTGCCGATTCTTCGGCAAGCTTTGCCGGCGCTGCCAGTTTTGTGGGTCTGATAGGTTCTGGATCACCTTGGCCGGCAAGGCTGGCAAGGAACAGTATGCGGGCAATCTAACATATCAGGATTATAAATTCAGACCGCTTTGCCAAAGCGGGCCAGATTGTTTGAGGATTAATCAATCACTTGCCAGCATGGAATTTGTTTGCATTTTTGCATTGCAATTGTTCACCTAAGAAAATGTGGCACTAGCATGTTCCAAACCAACATCTACCAACGCGTTGCCACAAACATCCAAACTTTACCCAACATTTCCCAAATCAAGAGCACGTTCGTTGCGGAGACTCCTCTTCGGCAGCCGCTTGGAGGGTCCCAAGCCAGTTTGAGACAAACTGGAACGTGAACCCTCTTGATGCACCATACTTAGAAGCATTTGCCCAACACTTCTCGACATTTTCGCACAGCTGGACAAACTAGTGTCCAAACTATATCCATCACTTCTCCAAGAATTCTCTCCAAACTATGTTCATACTTCCACAAACAAGCCCCCCCACAAACAAATAACGCACTTTTGCTTGGTGTGTTGGGTGTTGGGGGGTCAGCGTTCCACTTTGGATGGGCTTGCGGGGGGAAGCCAATTCCTTTCAGCGATGTGTCAACCGCCTCGCAGGGAGATGGGCGCCTTCGTCAAGCTCCTCTTCTGGACGGACGGCGGCAGCATCCTGGGCCTGGTGCCGCCGCTGCACCCGAAAGGCTCGCTCTTTGTGGGTGGGAAGAGGGGGGGGGTGCACGCTGTTTTTTTGTTCTACGTGGGTGGGGGGTGGGATCCCATATTTTGAGAGAATCCTTTGGACAACTATTCATTTAGAAAAAGAGAGAGAGAGAGAGAGAGAGAAAAAAGAAAGCGAAAAAGTGGCTCTTCCTTGAAAGGCTCTGGAAAGCTGCGCCTGGTCTCCTTCATGTCAGACGACTACCCGAACAACTGGCAGGATGAAGTGGAGGTGGAAGACGACACCTGGTACCATGTCACGGTTTCCTGCCGGCAATTGATCAAAGTCTCGCCGCAATGTCCCGAATCATGGGCTTGCCTTGAAAGGCCCCCCAGTAACAAACCAGAACAACAGCATCCTAATTCCCAAATTAAACCAACTAACCCAAAACAGGGAACCCAAATAATCAACATGGGCACCCAGACACAGGAAGACAGGAAGTCCCCCAAAAAGGGGCAGGGTTCCTATGAGCGCTTTTGGACGTTGGAGCCTCCATCGGCATTTGAGAGGTCACCTTCCGGCCGGGAACCAGTGGGGTGGAGCTGAAGCTGCAGGCTGGCGGTTTTTTTGGGGCCGATTTTTGTGGTTTGGTTAGTTGGACTGGCTGGTTGGCTGGTCGGCTGGTGGGCGGGTGGGTTGGTTGGCTGGTTGGTGGGTGGCTTGTTTGTCTGTTTGTTTGATTGTTTGTTTGTTTGTTCGCGTGTTTGTTTGTCGGTTTGCCTGTTTGCACTCTTGGGATGTCCCACTTTTTCCCCAACAGCTGAAAGCTTTGGGGTCTCAGCCCAGATAGGGTCCGGGGTGGTCCGGGGCGGCCCTGAGGTGAGGTTCCACGAGGGTTCCACGAGGGTTCCACCAGCGTTCCACCTGGTTCTGCGAGTGCTGCGGGGTGGTCCGGGGTTTCACCAGGGTTCCACCAGGTTCTGCGAGGGCTGTGGGGGGTTCCACGAAGGTTCCACCATGGTTCCACCAGGTTCTGCAAGGGCTGCGGGGTGGTTTGAGGTAAGGTTCCACCAGGCTTCCACCAGGTTCTGCGAGGGCTACGGGATGGTCCGGGGTGGTTCCACGAAATTTCCACCAGGGTTCCACCAGGTTCTGCGAGGGCTGCGGGGTGGTCCGGGGTGGTATAAGGTTCCACGACAGTTCCACCAAAGTTTTACCAGGTTCTGCAAGGGTGATTTGAGGTAATTCCGCCAGGGTTAAACCAAATCCTGCGAGGGCTGCTAGGTGGTCGGGGTGGTTTGAGAAGGTTCCACAAAAGCTCCGCCAAAGTTCGACCAGGGTTCCACCATTGTTGCACCAGGTTTTGCAAGGGCTGCGGGGCGGTCGAGGTTCTGCGAGGGGTGTGGGATGGTCCGGGGCGAGGTAAGGTTTCAAAGGGTTCCACAGAGTTCCGTGAGGATTCCACAAGGCGCAAAGGTTCCGCAAGGTTCCATGGTTTGCCCTAAAGAAAAACAATGTGTCGTGCGCCCGTCTGCTTAGAAGATCGCCTTGCTCATGGGCGGAACACTAAGCCAAACCGAAGTTCATGGTTTTCAGCACACTTTCAATGTTTTGTGACTTGCTCACTTCTTCAGGCAATGCGGCCTGAAATGTTGGCTTTGTTGCAAATCAGATCACGTTGCTGCGGGACTCTCACTGTGCAGCAGAGTAAATGCTTGGCATTACTGAGTATTACTTGGGCTTTGGGTTCCAAAAACGCTCCACGAGGTTTCCACCAGATTCTGCAAACGCTATGGGGCAGCCCTGAGGAAACGTTCCAACAAAGTTTCACGCTGAGTTCCACGAGGGTTCAACGAGGACGGCTTGCGAGGTTCACCGGGCACAGGTCGGGCAATGTGTTGTCGGGGCCCGATTGCACCGTCGGGGCCCGATCGGGCCCGATTGCGCCGTCGGGCCCCGATCGGGGCCGGACTCAGTCGGGACGCGTGAACTGTACCAAGCTGGCATGGCCTAGTTTTGCTGGATACAAAAACTGGCGTTGAGCTAAAAAAGGGGCTGGGGTTGGTGGGCCACTTGCACCACGGGACCATCGGGCCCCCGGTCGGGGCCCGATTGCGCCGTCGGGCCCCGCTCGGGCCCCAATTGCACCGTCGGGCCCCGATCGGGCCCCGATTGCGCCGTCGGGCCCCGATCGGGCCCCGATTGCGCCGTCGGGCCCCGATCGGGCCCCGATTGCGCCGTCGGCCCCGATCGGGCCCCGATTGCGCCGTCGGGCCCCAATCAGGGCGCGATTGCGCTGTCACTCTTAGCTTTGCTTTACAAAGTTACAACGCGGCATCCTCAGCAAAACCGGTCGCGGGGCGTTCCGCGAGGATTGTGGGGGGTGTGGTGCTGTTGGGGATATCGCTTGAGCTTATTTCTTCTTTTTTTATGCGGGGGGGGGGTGTGAGGAAAACACAAACCGACCCCATTTGCAGGGTTCACAAGCCCACGAGAGGATTCTCCGTTCAGCAGCGGGTCGATCCCGGTGACCATGCTGTCCTCGTCCAATGGTCCGCAGTTGGGCGTGTACGCCTTCGATTATTCTGGGTCTTGGCCCAGCGCCCTACACCGCATATTTGGTGTTTCTCAAAACCGGGGAATCACTTGAAGGGTTGGTTTACTTTCTCCATTGGACCACGACCAGCAAAAAATAGGTTAATTACCTGCCACAAAAAGACAAATCTAGATGAGGGCGGCTGTGGCGACCTAGGTGTAGTCGAGGGTTTTGCCTGAAGTTGTGTGTGATGCCGATGGTGGAGAGAGATGCGGGATCGGAAGCTTGCAAAACCTTGCTCTTGTGGACTTGTGGACCTCTCCAAGAATTTGGGTCGTCAGAGGGGGGTCCTTTTCGCTGGTGCCAAGTTGCATGCCCAGGCAATGGCTTCACGCTGTGGATCAACCACCCCTGCGTCGGGGAAGCCACGTGCGCCGCAACTACGGCTGTTCCCAGCACCACAACAAGTGGCACCACAACCACGGCTGCGCCCAGTGCCTGGGCTCTGGAAAGCTCAGTAGTCCAAAAGGGGCATGGGCATTCAAGGGATGTACGCTGGATTTGCCCAGACAGGGGAAGCGTTCAGAGAGGAGGGGCATTTTGGAGCTGAGAGTATTCGTGGGTCGCCAGCGATGTGCGGAAGAGAGTCTGTGCAACTAGGCACAAGCACCACGACTGGTACAACGCCAGCTGGATGCTCATTGCCCGGTGCAATGCAGGTGGGCACCCCCGCACCTCGGCGGCAAGGCGGCAAGGCACCAGGCGACAAGCGACTTCCGAACGACGCGCCGCGCGAGAAACGATGTGAGGTGGATCGTCGGGGGTATGCCTACGAGCACGGGAAGCTGAAGCTCTCAGGTGCGCAACTGGTGAACCTGAGGGGGGACGCAGTGCAACTGATGCTTGTCGGCTTCTGCATGTCTCTTCAACCCCCTGGTTTGTGAATAGGAGCATGTTGGATGGATCTACCTTGGTTTGTTGTATGCAAAGATCGCATCGCTCCGGAGCCTTCACATGCTAAAGATTGCACCCCTTGCGGCGGTTGGGCGCAAGGCTCTTAAGTGGAGCGAAAGCAGCCCTTTGCTTATAGAGAGGCCCATTTTCACCATGCGCCCAGGAAGGGCATGTCCACTCATGGCCTTCACTGGTTCCTAGACTGTTGCTTGGCTTCGATGTGTTGTCGCTGGTTTTGCCCTGGAAGTTTTGCAGAAGTGGGCTGGAAAGAGAAGACGGGTCACAAAGCTGCTTGAGGCTACGAGAAGGGTATGGTGGAGCACCTGGTCTCCAGCTGGGGGATCACTGTGTTTAGGGCCGCCATGTACATTGGCGAAGCTGGCTACGCCTCAGACAAATCAGCCAGATACTCAAATCTTCGAAGCTTTTCGAGCGGCAGACTTTTCAAAGCTGAGGTTGGGATCCAATTTGATCCATGGTTTTTGACACGGCATGCCTGCCCGAGGTGGCGCAGCTGGTGGATGACATTGTTGCATGGGGTGAAGAATTTGGTGTCTACATCATCATTGACTGGCACGCTTCGGCCTCAGCTACTCGTGTCCATCGAGACTGCATTGAATTGGTTTTCGAGGTTTTAACACCGGGGGACCCCAACCACTGGCTCACTGGTGCCGGTGCCTCTCAAGCAGATGCTGCAGCTTACTGGCGCGAAACGGCACAGAAGTACAGAAACAAGACCCACGTCCTGTACGAGATCTGCAACGAGCCAAACGGGGTTGATTGGCCCACAGTGAAGACATATGCAGACAACATCATAGGGGTGATCCGTGAGGCGCATGCCACGGACATGACATGCCGACTTGATTGGGCTATTGGCAGTGCAAGTTGCAAGGGTAGCAAGGGGGTCGCAGGTGGATCCAGAAACCATCATCATCGTCGGCACGCCCACCTGGAGTCAGGCCTGGGAGTCGATGCTTCTTGGGCTTGAAACCGCGTGAAGCTTCAGGACATCCACAAAGCTGCTGCCAACCCGGTACAGGCGCCCTACAACGTTGCCCGGCGCAGGGGGGAGGCGATCTGTGGGCTTGGACAATCTCAATTCAAGTGGCGCAGTCTTCCCGCAGTGGCCGGTTTTCCGCCTTGGGTCAAGTGAGCTTCATCAAGCACTGCCCTTGCAAAGGAAAGGGCCAGTTTCAACCAATCATGCTTCTATGGGTATGTTCCCAGAAGCCGGGGGTCGGTGGGTGGGTGGGTGGGTGGGTGGTTAAATGAAACTCAGGTCATGTACGCCTTCCACTTCTACGCGGGCACGCACAGCTTTCTGCTGCCGCGGGTGCGCGAGTACGCCTCGCGAATCCCGATCTTCTGCACGGAGTGGGGCACCAGCCAGGCCAATGGCGACGGCGGGCCCTTCCTCGACCAAGCCAAGGCCCAGGGTTTGGGATTTGGGCCCCTCATGGCTCCAAGTTTGGCAACGAATCTTCTATGTTAACCGCTTGTTAAACATGGTGGCAATAAGGATTTCAGAGATTACTGGGCCATCTGATTCTCTCAAGATGTCCCAGTTTTGAATCCAGTCTCTCAGTCTCTTGGCTCAGCGCCGGCTGGCGCCGTGAGAAAACCACTTTGGGCGGGTTGCATTTCTTTGAAGTTTAATAAAAGATCACTCGGCTTGATCTTGTTTTGCTTTGAGACTGATGTTTTGGCCTTTTTTAGGAACCCCACTTCGGTTGTTTTTGCGTGTTTGTGCTGCTTTTGCCTCCGCGCGGCCATGCTTCTTTCTTTTTTCCGGCCCTCTTGGAGGGATGGTCGCAAAGGGCTCATATTTTTCTTGCGGGCTCCCCTTTTACGTGACGCACGTCTTTGGTTGTCTCCGTGCCTCTCTTTGGATAGAGGCAAATCGCAATCTTGGGGGGACCACCAAAAAGGAGCCATCCTCTTCATCCAAAGATGGGTACAGGTTTCTTCAAGCTTCACATGCTTGGGGAGCCCGAAGGGAAGGCTCCAAAAAGAGCTTTCTATTAATACGCTTCGCATGCTTTAAACGCCTAGCATGTGTGAAGCGAAGACGAATCTATCCTAACTGCTGCCATTTTGCGGGCTAGCCCTGCTAGTAAACATTTACATGGAGGGACTTTGTCGCAACATGTTGAAGAGGGAACAACAAGAAGCAAGCTTCAACATGGCTTCCTGTTGGTTTCCCTTGCGACCTAACCCCAATTAAAAGGGTGCAAACCCGAAGACGTCAAGCTTATTTAGTCATCGCGGCTATCTCATTTGTGCCTGGCTTGGGCGAGGAATAATGCTTGTGGTCTGCAGGGGCGCGACAGGTAAACACCCTGTTTGAGGAAACCTCTGCAGATGACCCGCCTTTCGTGGAAAAAAGGGCAATGAGTTTGACTTGAAACAGGACGCGCCCGAACAAATGCTTCAGCTTTTCAGCAACAAGAACGAACAACTTACGCGACCCAAAGACACCTCCCGGTGCTCATCTGGAGGAGTTCCTGGACCTCTTCGGCAGCGGCGAGCTGGGCGTCACGGTGAGCTGGGCCCAATGGAGCCTGGCCGACAAGGCGGAGGTCTCGGCAGCCCTCAGCGCCAACAGCTGCCAAACCGACAGTGCCTTGACGGATGGCGACTGAAACGGATGTTTTTGTTCGTTGCTTTTGGTGGTTTCTTTGGAAGCCTATGTTTGGGGCTTTGTTTTGCTGTTGGGCTGGTAGGCTGGTTGGCTGGTTGGCTGGCTGGCTGGCTGGTTGGCTGGTTGGCTGGCTGGTTGGCTGCTTGGCTGCTTGGCTTCTTGGCTGCTTGTGGCTGCTGCTTGGCTGCTTTGTTGCTTGGTTGCTTGGTGGTTGTTTGCTCGGGCTTTTTTTTCCCCCTCCTGCTTTTGCATAGTCTGGTTGGATTTGGGGTGTGTTGGTTTTGTTAACTCCTGCCATCATGCCCCCCGTGCAAGGTACAATCAAGTAAAGCAAAGTACCTGCTCGTTTCTATTCTGCATAGTCTTCCCCCGTTTAAGGGAAAATGCTGCCAGTCTCACTCTTGGGATCAAAGGGGTCACATGTTCTATCCAAGCCCCCCAGCAATCAGCCTCGAAAAGAAACAAACACTTGATCAAAAGGAGAAAGTTCGACAAAGGCAGCTTTTGCTAAAGACTGCTGTTTTTCTGCGAGGCTGGGACAGCGTGTCCTGCTCTGGCTTCTTCATTCGGTCCTACTTGAGGATGCACGCGGAGGATCCAACCACTACAGCTGCACCGCCCACTTCCACTGTCTCGACAGTGGCCACTACGCAGCCTGTCGCAACCACGTCAGTTCCCACGACAATGCCATCTACACAGACAACCACAAGCACACCGATGGCCACAACTACTCAATCTGCTGTCATGACGTTCCTTGTCGCAAGTTGAGTTTTTGCCTTGGTTTTTGCACACCGGGACCTGTGTGCAATTTTGCGTTTGCTCGGTTCAACCATCAAAGGATAGGTCCTCCTATTGCCCGGGAGATGCCTGCAGAATGTGGCCGGTGGTGCCAATACAATGACAATGGGTGGGAGACGAAGTGTACGTGGAAGCTTAAGCAGCAGCGGGTTGCAAGTTGTCAGATGAGTTTGCCGGATCATTATTCGTGGCCCAAGCTCAAGATCGCTTTTTGTGAGTTGAAGTGTCCATCTGTTTCGGATGCTCTTGCTCAGGTTTTCGAGGTTGCCTTGAGGGCGCTGCTCGCTCCAGAAAAAGCACTCCGCGACTCCCACAAGCCCTTTTGTTTCTAGCCCTGTTCCAAGACTTGTTTCCAAAATGAATTTTCGAAAATCCAGGCAGGCGCGGAAGCGTTGTCTACTCCCGCTTGGAAATATGTACCTTCCGTCCCCCCCTCTCCGCTTCCTCCTCCTCCTCCCCCTCTTTCGTTCGGCTTGGGTGTCTACCAGGTAGCATGTGCGGTTGCGGATCTTGCCAGTTTCGGTTCGGTCTGCCATGCAGGGCACCGTGTGGGTTCCGTGAATGTAGTTCCCCGATGTGCATGCATGGCGCAAGTCGCCTTCGACGCAGTGTGGCCAAGGATTGGCTGCAGCTTGTGCGCAGGATGCGAGAGTACCACCACTCCAGTGCCTACAAGCACATCATCTTCGACTGCAACCACCAGCACAAGTACAAGTGGCTCTACGACTCAGGCCTCGACGACAGTAGCGACGACAGCCAGCACGACCACTTCCCCAGCCGGCCCTTGCGCGGCAGTCTACGGTCAGTGTGGTGGTGCGAACCACGCAGGGCCGACCTGCTGTGACGCTGGATCCACCTGTACCTTCGGAAATGAATACTACTCTCAATGTATGCCTGGCTCGCCGACTCCCTCGCCGACTCCCTCGCCGACTCCCTCGCCGACCCCCTCACCGACTCCTTCGCCAACTCCCTCGCCATCGCCCGGCCCCCCAGGTGTCAACCCCTTCGTGGGCCATCCCTGGTACGTGAACCCATCCTACCGCGACTTGCTTTCCACATCTATCAACCTCACCAGCGGCGCAGTGCGTGCCAATCTTGAGTCCATGCAGAACGTGCCCTCGGCCTTTTGGATTGATGTGAAGTCTAAGATCTACAAGGGTCAGGGACACCCGGATCTCAGTACCGTTGAGGGCATCCTCGAGGATGCCGCCAGTTGTTCGCCGCCCAGCCTCGTCGTGCTCATCGTTTACGACCTCCCAAACCGGGACTGCTTCGCGCTGGCCTCCAACGGTGAGATCTGCTGCCACTATGGTGAAGATGTGGGCCGGACCAAGTGCGACATGTCGACTGATGGGCAGAATGCCGGCTTCTACCGCGAGGTTGTTGGTGCAAACTGCGCTGATGGCTTGACCGAGTACAAGGAGACCTATATCGACCCCTTTGCAGAGGTGGTGGCGCGCTTTGCCGATCGGGTGCCGGTGGTCCTGGTGATCGAGCCAGATTCCTTGCCCAACCTTGTCACGAACATGAAGGACAAGAGGCCAGATAACTTCCGCGGATGCCACGACGAGACAAAGGTGGCCTACCAAGAAGGTGACCTTGGCTCAAGTTTCGAAAGCTTTGGTATAATGACCGCATGTCGTTCTTTTGTTTTGCTTCTCATTTTCCTCACTGGGCTCAACGGGAGCCAAAAAAATCAAAGAAAAAGCGATTTGACCGCTGCGCGACAGGTTTTGGCCATGTTTCCCCCCCCCCCAATCCCTCGCCGTGCTTTGCCCAGACCAATTTCAGGGATCCGCTACGCTGTGGAGAAGCTGGCGCCCACTGGGGCGCAGCTCTATGTCGACGCCGGTCATGGCGGTTGGCTGGGCTGGGCCAACAGCTCCTCGGAGCCGTTTCGCTCCTTTGGGGGGACTTGGCAGGAGTCGCCAACCAAAAAGGGGGACCCAGGGGACCCATCTCTTCTTGCAAAGGCAAAAAAAAAACGGGCCACTGCGCAGGGGACACTGTTCAGCCGACGGGCATTGGGATGGTCGCTAAAGGGGAACCTCCGGTCTCAAGATAGGGAGGTTCCGTTTTTGGATGGCCGGTCACGGACAGCAAGCAAACTGTCCAGTTGAGTGTGTACTGCCTTCCGTTCGCCTTTTTCTATCAACGAGGCAATGACGACCAGACAGGCAAGTTTGCCACCATCATTGCAGAGATGCAGATTGCTGACAAGGTCCGGGGCTTCGCCACGAACGTGGCAAACTACCAGCCTGTGGGATCACTGATTTGCCCGCAGCCCGGTACTTGCAAGGGTCAGATGAGCAATGACCCATGCTGCGCGGATGACCCTTGCAACTTGCAGAAGGATTGGAACTGGGCGCACAATGAGCTCAACTATGTAGACGTCCTGGACTACAAGCTGCGAGCGGCCATCCCCGGTTTCACCCCGGCCTTCATTATTGATACTGGCCGCAACGGCAAGCCCAACAGCCGCACCGACTGCGGCAACTGGTGCAACCCACGTGGCACAGGAGTAGGCCACGTCCCCACAACCGTGACGCCTGACGGACGCATTGACGCCTTGTTCTGGCTGAAGACCCCGGGTGAATCCGATGGGTGCACGGAGATTTTGCCTGACGGCACAAGCTGCCCCCGGTTTGACCAGATGTGCGCGTCTGTGGACTCCCTGGGCAGCCAAAGTGGAGAACCCCGGGCGCCAGAGGCGGGTATTTGGTTCCACTACCAAATTGCCATGCTCGCTGAGAACGCAAACATGGGAGATGCCTCCGTTTTCAGCACCCCAGGCAGCTGCGGAACCATATCATCTGGATCACAGCTCACGATCCTGACGGATGCGTCGGAGGCACACCATGCAGGTCATTTGAACTGGAACGCATCCAGTCAGCATGGCTCGAATCAGGGTGTCACAATGCTTGCGCTGCGCGCACGCCATTCACGCATGCTGTTCAAAGCAGACAGCGTAGACGATTTCCAGGGCAAGGATGGTGGTGTCAATCGTGCATGCCGCGGAGCGAGTGCAACAGACAACAATCCAAGCAACTACGAAATTCATGCTGCAGCGACCCTGGACGAATGCAAGACAATTTGCATGTCTGTGGCCGGCTGCAAGGGCATAGAGTTCAGTCGTGGTCGATGTGAGGTGTGGACACGCATGGGAGGAATTGAGGCTACAATCGAGCTGTCTGGGTTCAGCTGCTACACATACGGAGAAACCGCCGCAACTGGTGAGTTTTACCCTGTGGATGGCGGTGTAGATCGCGCATGCCGAGGAGGAAGCACAACAGACAACTCTCCAAGCAATTACGAAGTCCATTCTGTAACCACTCTGGACAACTGCAAGGCAATTTGCATGTTTGTAACCGGTTGCAAGGGCATTGAGTTCAGCCCTGGCCGATGCGAGGTGTGGACACGCACGGGAGGAATCCAGGCCAGCCGCGAGCTTGCAGGGTTCAGCTGCTTTTCTTACTCCAACGTATCCAATGTGGAGAAGTGCTCCGAGCTCAGCAGCGCGCAAATGTCTGCAGCCTTGTCCGTGTCACATATCCCGCTGTCAGTCCCACGAAACAGCCACTGCTCAGAGTACGGGACGGCCTTGTCCTGCCGCCACCTGCACTACGCGGCCTCCGCCACCAGCGACATGCAGGCGGTGCTTTACAACGACGACGCGGGGAAGCCGCAGCTCCTGTTGCTGGGGCCGGCGAACTCCGTCGTGACCGGCCCGCGAGCCCTGGCTTCCTCGCTCGGGCCTGAGTTGATCCAGGGCCAATTGCGGGATAGCAGGGGTCATAAACAGACAAAAGAAAGCGGCGGCCGCCCCTTGCAATTCTTTCGTGGTTTTGCCACCTTTTGGATGTCACTCAGCGGGCAGATCGCCTCCAGCATCCCTTGCCTGCCTTGGCCAACTGACCGGAACCGCAAGAGGCTTTTGCCTTGGGTTGGTTTGAAGGGAAAACAAAAGCACCGCCGTCTGTTGGGTCCCTGATTTTGGGTGTGTATTGTTTCCAGGGTACCCTTTCTGGGGGAAAACGAAAGGGGCGCCACCATGTTTACGGGGAACCTATTTTGAGACGACCCCTTTTGAACGGAAGCCCTCGCCGTGACCAACTTCGGTTCAAACAAATTTTCGGCGCTAGCAGGTTGCGAAACATGTTTGGCCCTCGTGAGGACCCAGGAGGTGCCTGTTGCCGACTTGAAATATGGTTCCAAAGAGGGGGCTCCTTTCTTGCTATCTGGAACCCACACTGGAACCCACACCTGTTTCCTTTTCAGTATGCCCCCCTCAGCGGACAAAGGCCCAGCAGAATTAAACATGTGCGGCCTTTGGCCACCCTCCAATGAGCAAATCCGTGTAGCAGGCGAATGGCATGCTTTTTTACTCACTTACAACCGGGGTGGTTGCCTGGGCTTCATTAAGGTGGCGGGTCGCCGGACTTCCTCCCGCAAAAAAGGAAAGACAGCAACCACTGAAAGCAGACGGGTTGGACAACCGGCTCAGCCGTTGTCCGGTGCCAAGGTGACTGAAGCGAACTCGTTCAAAGTGGGTGTGTAAAAACGACATGGCGCTGAAAGGGCGCCATGGCCCAAAAGGTTGCATCACCGCCGACCACTACTCCGTAGCTTCTCTTGCTTCATTGGCTGCTGCAAGTCTCCTGCAATGTACCTGGGTTTGAAACACATAGTTGGGGCCCCTGAAAGAATGCCAAAAAAAGGAACCAGGACGCCATCTGTCAAAGAACACTCACAAGACCTGCCCCAGATCTCCGCCCGCGAACGAGGTCCTCGAAGATCCGGGGGTTGGAGTTCGACTCGGCGGGGCACCTGGTGGTGCTCCTATCGGGCGCCGATGGCGCGAGCCTCTTCAAGTGCCTCGATAGCTAACCTCCATGATGGCAAAGGTTTACAGGTTCCCCAGGCCTCATCCATCCTGAACACTTGCTGGGGTATGTTCCTGTTTTTTTTTGGGGGGGGGCTTTTGAATGAACCTCATGCCTTTGGCTTTGCGACATTTTTCATGCCTGGCAAGAGCTGCGTGCCAAAGTCCTTTTCAAACTTTCGGAGCAGTTTTTTTTGCCTGCGCCACAAAATGGGTGCCTCACTGGTTCGAGGTTTCCCAGGAGTTCCCCCGTGAAAACAAATCTTGGCCCGGTCGAGGAAGTTCTCGGTGCCGAGCCTCGAGGAGGTCTGGAGCGCGTCGGTGCGCGAGGCAGTGGGGCTCGACAGGCGGGGTTGTCCATAGGCGTGTCTTTTCTTAGAAAACCACTCAAATTCTAGTTTCCCGCTTGGAACAAGGGTAACTACTAATTACCCTGAACAAAAGACACCCCATACGGTCCTTTTTAGGAGGACATGGACTTGGGGACTCACTAAATGACACGACAGGGGCCTCACTAAATGTCTCACGGCCTTTTGATGGAACAAACTATTCTGACATTGGCTGATTTGGCGACCAGGGTTTTGCCCCTGAAAAACGTGCCACGGGGTTTGTAAAGTGACATCTTGACTTGTTGTTTGCCCCCTTTGTTAGGGCAACTTTTGCCCAGTTTGGGAATGTCTCTAACAGCTCAGGAATTTGCCAGTCCTGGCCTGAGGGGGTGTCCAAGAGCTTGTGACAGGTTTACACAAGCTGGTTCTACGGCGCGCAACCACCGTCCCTGCTGGGTGGCTGACGACGAGAGGAAACGGCAATCCTAGATGAGAAATCTCGAGAGCAAACACTACATCAGACCAGCATAAATTCGCTGCGAGGGCAGCAGATGCCCAATTCATTTGGTGTTGTAATTGATCATAAATAGATACCCAGGTGTCAAAGCAAGCCCTGGTTGTGAACATACAGTTGTTCTGCCGGAGCCTTTGCTTCCAGGGCAAAGGGTCGTACCAGGTTGCGGTTCGCGTGTCAAAAGTGTGACAAAGAATGGCCTTGTTTCCGGGCCGATCAAACTTCAGCGCGCTTCGCAGGTGGACTCCAGACGCCGCCCAGTCCCTGGCAGCATCATCCAGCCGTTACATTCAGCACTCCGCCGGCCTTTGCACGTCGCTCGGCTCGCTCTGGGGCTCTGGGTTCTCGATTTGTATGGCCACCGGTTCTTGGCAAAAGCTTGGCAGGTCTGGCTGGTGCTCCGGACATCAAGGCACGGAGGGGTTTGGCGCCGAGTCTATTTTTTGCAAGGCTCGGGCCTTTTGATCTCAGGAGGGATGCTGGTTGTCATGGACTCGGATGGGCAGCAGCGCTCCTACTCTGGGGATGCCTGGGCCTCCCACTCATGCAAGCAGATGGCGGCTTACAGCGTCCCCTGGCATCAGCGTGCGTCTGTTTGTGCAAGGACTCCTTTTGGAATTGTTTGTGCAAGAGAGGCCAAAGGACACCAAGAACCATTTCCATTGTGAGACGGACCTTGCTCGAGGCAATTTCCGACACCTTCCTCCTTGGAATGGCTGGAGATTCGTATCCAGATGCGCCACGATCTTATTTTTTCTCACCGTGCCAACAGGCAATACCAACGCATGCCCAGACAGTCTGTCGCTCGAACGCCACTGCTGAATTCCAAGGCTGATGTTTTCGACCCTGAAGGACTGGTCATGGAAGCGCAGGCCTGGGCATTTCTTGTCGCAGCCAGGACGACATTTTGATGCCGGCTGCGAGCTTCCAAAGTTGGGGAGATGGTGCTGGCGCGCAGGGCATCAGCAGCGCTGCAATCAAGGCCCCGCCAAAGCACAGGGCTCCTCATATTTCCATGTTTGACGGTTTTCAACATCACCTGCTTGGACTGATGTTCAAAGGTGTAGGGAGCCCTGATAGAGAGAAGCCTATGTGCAGCCATTGCGCCCAATCCTGTTGAAGCGGTGTCGCTTCGGCAGGCAGACTTGTCGGGCGGCTTCGGAGCCGTCTGGACATATGGAGAGAAGAGCAGCTTGGGCCAAGTTGGCCGAGGCGCCTTTTTGCAGGTTCTTGGCAGCCAGTTGATTCGGTCGGCCGCACGGCATCCAAGGCGGGCCGCGTGACAAGCTTTATTTTGCGACCTTTGATTCCAATGGAAGAGCCTTGGAACAAATTGGCATGTCCTTCGCTCGTTGCCAAAGCCGGTCTCTCCACACGCTCTTCAAAACCGTAGCTGCTGTTGACGGAGCCAGGCCGGAAAAACTGAGCAAGCCAAATACACGAGGGCCAACCGCAAGTCAGATGCATCGCAAGACACCGAGCTGGGTCTGGCCGTGGACCACCAAGGTTTTGTGACGGCTCCTCGCCTCTTGTTTGACGATGCTGGCTCGGAGATCGGAGGCAACCTTGTCCCTCTTTCCGACGGCAAGTGGCTGGTGGTCTATACCAAGTCTGACTCGGACGTTATCTCTGACTACATGAGGACTCGGCGAAACCTCCCAAAATGGTTGGTATACCTTTGATTGCCTTTGACAACAAGTGTCAGCTTCCAATTTCAGGACTTCCCCCCACGCCCAGTCGAGGAAGATGTCGCCATCTTTTTTGTCACCAGGACGCTTTGGGACGACTGGTCGCTGCCGGAGGACCTGAGGTCGCAGGGAGGCCGCCTGGCGGTGGTGAGTGGCCAAGGCGAGGTGCTCAAGGACTGGTGGGGGGCGTCAGGATCCTCAATTTTTGCCGCCGGCTTCCATTGAGGGAATGATGCCGATGCCCCCCCAAATCAGGGCGGCCAGGGAAGAAGAAAGAGAGCAGGGAAGGGGCCCCTGCGAAAAGCATTTAGCCAGATAGTTGAGCCCGGATTTCTCCTTCCAACTGCTGAACCTGCAAGTTCGCGGCTTGCCAGGACGGCATTCAGCTGAGCCCAGAGGCCAGCCTCCCCGTGGAGCTCAACCACCTGGTAACGCGCAGCCAGGGCTTTGGCCACAGCCTCAGTGTCTGGATCGGTTTGGGCTCACATAGGTGTCGATGTGAACTGACAAGAACCCCTCCCCATGTACCTTTAGGGGAACGAGTGGTTTTGTCAGTTGCGCATGGTGTTCTCGTATTCTCAAAGTGGCCTGCTGGGTGGACTCCCTTCATATTGCCGTCAAATGCCCGCTTGGCAGGGGCTGCCACTTGGTACGGCAGCAGTAAAATGGGGGGGGGGGGGGGGTATTTTTTCAGGGTGCCCTGAACTGTTTGCTTGCCGGATTTTGAGACCCCGATTCGGCCCAGGCTGGGCGTCTGTGGACGCGAGTGGCCAGAATTTGCGCATCGCGCACCTGCAGTGCTTGTAGGCGAGGGGGTTGGGGGGTTTCCATTAGTTACAGGAATTGCTTACAGGATAATTTCCATCAAGTTGAGGTTTTTGCCCGAAGAAATAATTTCCTAGGCTTCCAGCCCTGAGCTGCGCATGTGGGCACTGACAGAGTTCCAGGGGTACGCGGTGGTTGCTCCAAAGCAGTGAAGCACCGACGCCCTGAGGTGGTGGAAGAGGAATTCGGACCTCGGGAGAAGGTTTCAGAGAGTTTTAGAGGCAGCGGTCGGTGGCTTCGTGGGGGTGTCTCCAAATGAGGGGACCTTCCAATAAGGGTGCCCTCAAACTAGGCTTAGAATCCATTCGGCTAGCAGTGGTCATGACTCTGGGGTCATAGTGATTCCCAGTGATCCACATAAGTCCATGGCACGTCTACGAGCCTTCTCCTGGGTCGGTCTGGTGGTGCCGGCTTGCGGCGTTGCTATAGAGATCGCTTGCAAGCCCGCAGCACGCGCATGTGCAGCTGAAAGGGATGATGGTGGATGTACACTCCGCCTGCGCAACAGGCAAACTTGCGCCATCCGGCTTTTGGCAGTTTTGCGAATCTGTACACCGCACAACCGTGCAACTGCAAATGATTCCGAAGAAGGATGTATAGAATTAGTTCGGGTTTCCTGCGGGGTTGGCTGTACAAAGCGGCTGACTTCCGCGACGAAACGCTCGCTTCTTCGCTTAGAAGAGCCAGAGACGTGAGAATATCTCTGGGCGTTCTGCTTCTTGTTTCCCTTCAAGGGATTGCAAGACGGCGGTTCCAAAAGGACGGCAGTCTACCAAAGGACACGGTCAGTTTTCCATGGGAGGAGGCACCCCATCCATCGTTAAGGCTGTGAATGACCTGTTTTGAATGACGAACAGTTCAGGTTCTCGTTTGTTCAGGGAAGTGGTGCGAGCTGAGAGGATTCAAAGGTTGCGAAGGATTGGACAGAGCCTGCCAACTAACTCTTGAAGACGGGGGCTGTTCAACGATGGCCCGCGCCGTTTTTTTGGCTACGTCGATTGTGCTCAAGGGGCTAGGCCCACGAATAGATGAGTTACACCGGGCTTCCTGCAAGCAACCAAGCAGAGCAGGGCAAACCAGCCATGATGCAGCATCTTCATCATGACCAGAGTGATACAAGAGCAACGCTGGAGCAACTCAATGCTAAGTGCATCCAGAAGTGGCAGAAAGTTGTTTACAAGCAGCCATGGCAGACACGTTGTTCCAGAGACTTGGCTGAAAATTCCAGGTGTGGGTTCGAGCAACTCGTTTCCACCCACACCTCCTTCCGCTGCTTATGCGCAGATTGATTTTATATACCGTACTGTCCAGCCAGTTTGCTGAAAGGTAATGGGGCTTCAGTTGTGGACCTTTTTCTCCCAGACATATCTTGCCCCTGGCACGCAAAAACGACAGACTCCCAAGGCCGCTGGTGTTGGGCGGCGGCGCTCTGCGCCTGAAGCACCGGGTGGTCCTGGCGCCGCTGACGCGCACGCGGGCTTCGGAGGCAGACATGGCGCCGCAGTCGATGTGCCGCTCGGCTGCATCCATTTGCCTCATGGGAGGGTCATGCTTGGGAAGCATGGCAACTGGCCCCGATCCATGGACCTTTCGCTTGGATAGATGTCATTTCGGGCTGAGCAAATGGATTTCACTTGTTTAGTTTGGTTCTCATCAACGCGTTTTTGTTTGACACAGCTGCCCTGAGGTAAATGAGCCCATACACACACACACAAACGCACATCATTGCACTACGTTACATTGCATTACATTACATAGCAACCTAGACACATAATACATAGATGCACACATCCACACATACATAGATGCATAGATACCTAGATACATATATACATAGATACAATAGTGTCTATGTTGTCCAACTGTTGTGTGAACATTGGGAGCAAAGGGGCTTGGTGGGCTGGGGTTGGAAACTTAACTCGCTCGCCGGTTGGCGGCGTTTTGGGGATCGCATTGACGCCCCCTGGCAGGCGCAGAGTACTACCAGCAGCGCGCCTCGGAGGGCGGCCTGCTGATCTCTGAGGCGACGAACATCAGCATGGAGTCATGCGGCTATCACCGCGCCCGGCGCCCAAGGGACCGTGGAAGAGGGTGCCGAGGGTGCTGAGGGTGCTGGTGGGATTCCGGATTTGAAAGGTTTGAAGGTGCGCACAAACCGCATGATGCCTTGCCAAACAGGATCGTCAACTGACGGCCATGAGACGCTGGGCATTGAGAGACGTTGGCGCTGCTTCCGAGGCCCCTGGCATTTGGTCGGAGGCGCAAGTGTCTGCGTGGAGGTGTGTGACGGCTACCCGGCTGCCAGAGCTTCTTTCCCGAGGGTTGGGGAAGGGGGATTTCTTGAATTTGTGGAAGTTGTGGAAAGCAGACCTTTGATTCATCGCACCCGCCCCCCCCAACAATGAATCTTTCGGAAATAGAGGACGCACCAAACCAATTGGCTCAGAAATGGGTAATTAGGATTCCTGGGCCGATTTTGCGTGTCCATTGAATTTATATTGCCGGAGCTTCTTTTTGAGATTGGATCCGAGGTATTTGAGGATTGCTGGTCTTCCTTATGATGGATTGAAGTTTCCATCCATTTGATTCAGTATTGCTGCCTTTCAGTTTCCACTTGAGCTTGAGTAAGTATTGCTGAAATTGATTCTCCAAGTGATTTAGTATTTTGATTTTGGTTTCCATTTGATTTAGTATTTCGAACAAATACAGGGTGGGTCCCCCTATGTGAAGAAACTCGAGCAACAAAAGTGTCTTGACCCTCCCGATGTGTGAGCTTTTGGAGGTAAAACAATAGGTTTTGTTGGGTTGATGTGTTTGCACATGTTCCGTTTAATTTTGAGGGCAGGATGGAGGGGGGAAGATTTTGCGCATCATTATTGTGGGGGAGGGCCGGGAAGGGGGGGTTAGTCGTTTAGCAAAGCTGTTGGATGACTTGTGGATGTGCCTCTCTCACGAAAAGCGAGGGTCACTTTTTCAGTTCTACGCCAAGAGTGTGGACCCAAGCTTCCCAGGCCTTCCCAGGCAACAGCAAACTGCCAGGTTCATCCTTGGTTTCATGCATTTTGTGAGATGCCCCGCGCCCAGGACAAAGTGCACGACAAGGGTGGCTACATTTTCTGCCAGCCAGGGCCTAAAGTCCATTGGTTCGCGGTTCGGCGTACGGGGAAAGACGTACAAGACGGTCGGAATGTGGCTGTGGCTTCCTTTGTGAAACGGTTGAGGTTGTGGCATATTGGCCGCGTATCCCATCCCAGCCCTTGCCTCAGTGCAACTCAACGGCTCAGAGAGCCGGCCATAGTGGTGGCTTTGAGTTAGATGATGGGAAAGCAATTGGCCTGGAATGGGACGCCCAATGAGTCATGAGTCCTGTCAGGATGGCATTGACAGTCAGGCTACAAGCATGCCTTGTGAGGCAGCCTCCAAACCAACACATTTGCCATGGACTCTGATGGGGTTGGGCCTCTGCAACAATCTCTGCTCGCGACTCTTGTTGAATCGCCTTCCTCTCAGGTTCCTTTTTCATGGCGTTTCTTTGTTGCCAGCGCTCAAGTCCGAGGCAAGCCTTTTGAGCACATTATGGATGGTTTACCGTTCGCACCCTAAATCTCGCTTGCCCAAAGCACCTGGGAACAATGTTCAACTCAAGCCATCCAAGCAGAACCAGCTCTCAAGGGACACCAACTTTGGGTAAACCGAGGCTGGAGCCAGCACCCCCTGCTGGCGGCGGCGAAAGCCAGCGGCGCGCCGATGCCTTCAGTCAGCGCGTCTGAAGTGGCCATGCCGGGCAAGACCTACAACGTCTACCCCGAAGCATCTTCGCACGGTTTGAGCGGGCTGCTGAAGTCCCAAGGGAAGCTGAAGAGGGGATGGATCACCCAGATTTCAAGTCCTGGTTTTAGTTCTGTTGCATTCTGTTGCATTTTGCTGGCCTGTCTCTGCTTAACGGCCAAGTTCCGAGTCCTCACTTTTGGCGCTGTTGCAATATTTCAACCGTGTCCGACCTGCCTCGCGTCGACAGTGTCTCGACAGAGTCCTTCCATGTCTCATGCCAGTTTCTTACTTCGCAGCATCCCTCCACTAACGGGATTTTGGGTTCCTTTGACTATATACCCTTGCCGGTGCTCATTAGGGAATGAGGGAGTGAAGCTGGGGATCCCCTTAAAGGAAACCATACCAAAAACCTGGTTTCACTCAGGGTCATTCCATTTCTCCTTCCCTGCCTATCGCGCCAAGTAGCTTCAAGGCGTGTAGCCTGGTCCTGTTTCGGCCGGTCGGCAGGGCAGCAAGGGCCCCAACGCAGCGCCGCGGGCGCTGGAGACTGCAGAGCTGCCGCGGCTGGTGGCGGACTACAGGCAGACAGGGGAAGGGGGGGGGGCCTGACCAGGTTGAGAACGCTGTGGCCTATTTTAACTCTCAAAATGTTTGCTTTGGGGTTGTTTCTTTGGGTTTTGGGGGTGGGGGGGGATTTCTTTGGACTCCCAAGGCAGGGGGCTGCCCAGCAACAAAGGATTTGTCCATGCACGTCTTCTGTGTGTAGTCAGTTTTAGCAGACGCATCCCGCTTTCAGATGTCTTGAAAATTGCCAAAAGCGGGCATAGACGGAAAAGGGGCCCTGCTTTTTGGGGGGTTCTCGCGCTTCAGGCTTTGTTTGTCGAATCCTCGCTCTCGAAGTACGCAAAGACAACAAGAAACGTGTATGTAACTTCTACTTGGGGCGGCCCCCTATATTTCGTGAAGGGGGCCACAAGTAGCAAGATGGTCATTTGCTGACTCAGTTTCCCTCCAATTGGTAGCTTGGATTGGTGGAGAACCAGGGGCTCACATCCCAAAACCCACCAACCCAAACCATCAGTCGAGAGATTCCCCATTAGCCAGTTGAATTCCTGTAGCTCAGTCAGGATAGTCAGCCTGAAGCGCATATTCCGTGCGGGCCCTTACGTTCATATGCGTCCCTTCAAGCTAGTTGGTTGAAAGTGAGTGACAACCTTTGTTGTTGTTTCTTTCCATCTTTTCGAAGTTGCATTTAGGTTTGCATATGGATACGTGTTTTGAGGGTCCCCCTGTCAGCCTGGTTGAAGGGGAAACCACAAGAAAATCCTGGAGCCCCCCAATCTGACGCATACCCACATCCCAGCTTTAACGCGCCCTTCCGCAATGCGAAGGCATGCTGCCCGCTGTGCAATGCGCGCGGGCTTTGATGGCTGCCTGGATGCAGTTTCCCCGTGCTGTCTGCCGGTTTTATGGCGAGCTCGCCTGGTGGAGAACGAGCTCACCATGTATCCCCTTAACCTGGAATTCCTTATTTTGTTTTCTTGAACCAGTGTAGAGTTTGCGAGTGCAGTGCCTCAGTTTTTTGCGTCACTCGCCGCACTTTCGAGGTTGGGTTGGTGGATGGGTTTGGCGTACGGTGTCCTCGCAGCTTTCTCCCAGGCGTGGAGGTCCACGCCGCCCACGGCTACCTGCTGGATCAGCACCTTGGAAGGATTCATGGGGCCTTGACACCGCGTTGCGTCGAGGCATGCGGCCACTTTAGGTTGACAGCAACGAAATCCTGGTACTGGCTTACAGCCAGGTTATTGAGAAGCGGCCGCTGGGGTTTGGCATCGGGGTGGTCGTTTTGGATTTGTTTGGGTGCACCTTGCTTGGCTGCCAAAGAGTTCGCGCTCACAAAACCAACTGGACGGTTGGGCTGGCAGCTGCTGGGAGTGGACATCTGGTCCTGTTGCTCGGGGAAGGGTCAGGCGGTTTCACCGGTTTATTCATATTAAGCTCAACGTTTACCAGAGCGAAACACAACACAGCATCAGCATTTCCTGTCCAGGTTCCTTCGCACGGGCACCAATCATAGGACAGTAACCTGGCTGCACATAATCTGCTTCTCTAAACGCCCCCAGGCTAGGCTTGCCAATGTTGACACGGCGTGTGCCGCAGGCCGTTTCAGGCTCCTAGGTTGAGACTCATCCTCCAGTCCTGCAGAAAGCAGCCTTGCTGGGCCCCTTCCGCTTGTCGCAGCGGGGCAGAACCTGAGGATCGCTACGGCGGGAGCGTGGAGAACCGGAGCAGCGTCTCGGCTGCACTTTCGGGGGAGGACACCGATATTTTGCGTGCGTCCCCGTTCCCACGGCAGCGTTTGCTTGTGTACAAAGGGCACGCCAAAGGGCATAGCTCGCTACACAGGCCCGAACGCGCAGTTTTTCGCGGCCTTGCTTTGTGCCAAGCGCCCAACGCTCGATCTGGATTCTAAATTGTCGCAGGGTGGGCAAGGGATGCAAGCAGCCAGCAAGGGCAACAAGGGCTCGGAATTTCGGGGCACTTGCTGAAAGGGCCTCCAGCCCTCCTGGGTTTGCGGCAGGTTAACACATGGAATCTGACACAAAAGGCTTCAACCGGATCTCTTAAATGCCAAGTTGTTTCTGCCTTCAATATCCGGCAGCTCCAGGGCTGCTGCTGGAAGTGGTTGCCGCCGTCTTGGAGGAAGTGGGCGTGGGCCGGGTGGCCGTGCGGCTCTCCCCGACCCAGCCGGGCGCCTTCGACTTCTTCGGCGCCGGCGATGTGCGGGGCCCCGGAGAGGCCTACCCTTCCGAACATGGCACGGGTCCAGCCAATTTCCGGGGCTTTTGGGGGGATCAATGAGTGCGGGAATGGAACAACTTGATTTTTAATGGTGTGTTGGGGATGATTCAGTTTGCGCACCTTCTCAGGTCGCATCGGAACAGGTTGCCTTCCTTCGCAAGTTGGGTTGCAACTGTTTGAGGTCTTTGCATGGGCCAAAAAGCATTCATCACAAGGTCGACAAGGCTTGAGACCGGTGGGCTTGAGGTTGAGCTCCCGGAAAGGAACGAGGCAACTGATGGGGAGCATGTGGAAAGCGGATTTGTACTGGGCACATGGCTGGATTGTCCGGATTGTGGATTGGCTGCTTCTCGCCGTTCGGATTGGGCATGCATGTTTTGACCAAGCAGACCTCAGCCTTGTTGCAAATACGTTCAAACTCGGGCCAGCCAAATCCTGAGCTTTCTGAGCTTTGCTTTTGTGGGGTGAGGAGAATCACATGGACGCGGACGGTTGCAACGTCACCTATCGCTACGAAGCTTGGCAAGACAAATTTAGCTGGGCCAACGATTTGGCTCACTTACCACCGGGCGCTGGATAGGCCGTACGTCATCTTTGACAGTTTTCAGGCCAAGCCTTTTTGCGAAGGCTTCCTTCCATCCAGGTGTCCCACGCAATGCGGTTCTACGACTTTGTTCTAAAAGGCCTGGTCTCTTCTATGCATTCTCTGGTGGGACGGTGATTCGCAGCAACAGGTTGCCCTGGAGGACCGAGGGCTTGCGGAGACCGGAGGTCCATTCGCCCCGAGAAGTTTTATGGCGTTAAGCCATGGCCATGGCCCACAGCTTGGTTGAGTCGCCACATTCGACACGGGGATTTCCCTTTTCAATGGTTTGGAAGGACCATCTGGGTTCTGTCGACTGGGTGTCCTCCTACTGCAACCCGGGAGAAGTCACCAGAGGGCTGCAAGTTCCTCGATGTCATTCAACTTTTCGGGTTACATTGGCAGCCAGCTTGATCAACTTGTCATTTGGAGTAAACATTTTTTCCCTTTCTGAAAACGGGTAGCACCTTCCCTCAAGCTGCATCAGTTTTAGCCTTGCGTTCCCTCAAGCAACAAAGGAAAGCTCCACTGTTTGAACTCTCCCATTCCTCGTGGAATCCCATATGTTTGACTCCGTCAATGTCCGCATTTTGATCCGGATAACTCTGGTGCGTCCGGGCAGGGAACAACTTCTAGGGAAAACTTCCCCATGCCTTCCAGGGATCCATACCAAGGACCAAGGAATGACTCGGAGTCAGTCGGAAGCGCCCCAATCTCCAAGGTGGTGGAGCAGCTGAACGCGAAGCCCTTGGCCTATTTGCTGCTCACCGAGCCCAGGTGGACCGGAGGGAGGCAGGACAATGATGCGGAGAAGGCCGGGGGGTGGTTGGATGGTCGCTTTTTTGGTCTGTGGCTTATGGCGTAGTTTGGTTATGATGCTTATGGTTTGGTTCGGTTTTAGTTGTTTTGAACGGTGATTGTTTACTTGCTCTTTTGTTTGTTTGCTCGGTTACTCGCTTGCTTGCTGGCTTGTTGGCTTGTTCGTTCGGTTCCCCCAATGTCTGCTCGCCTGGTAGGTAGTCGGTCCTTTGTGTAGGGGTGGTTTCGGTTTCGGTTTGGATTGAGTCTTGGGGGTTTGTCGTTTGTTTTTGTCGCAGCTTCGGTTTCAATAAACCAACAAAAACATGTCTGCTTGCGTGCTTGTTTGCTTGTTTGCTTTTGTTTGTTTCTTACTTCTTTGTTTGTTCGCTTGCTTGTTCTGTTGGTTGCTTGGTTGGTTGCTTTTTTGCTTGCTTGCTTGCTTGCTTGCTGGCTGGTTCTGCTTGGTTGTTTGTTTTCCGCGGACTCGGGGTCGTGGGATGCCTCCTTTCTTGAGGCGGGTCGGGCGCGGCCAATCCGAAACCCAATGCGCTCTGCAGGACCCAGGCTTTAACATGCCCATCACCAACTCCTCCACCTACCGGAAGATTTACAAAGGTGTCCTCATGGCCGCAGGTTCTCGCGGGGGACAGGGAGGAAGGGTGACTGGCAGGGATGGCGGTTTGTGGCCTTGCCTGGGGGATAATGTTCTCGTTTCAATCAGTGTGCTGCTCCTGGTTATCTAGAAGACGGCTGCAGTCAGAGGTTAGCGCAACCTTTCCATGAAGAGAAATGGTTTGACTTTGTCACAAGTTGTGCAAGCATTTGTGGGCAGCAATGCCGGGAGCGTCACCTCATTTGAGCACGTTGCTAGGCGGCCAGTTCATCAGAAAGGCATGGAAGGCGCTTCTTTGAAGGCGTGCAGGGTATCTGAGGCTGTGTGAGGGTAGCAGTTGTTATAGTTGGCCTGGACCAAACTTGGACCCAGAAAGCCGGACCCAATTCCCAATGGAGTTGGCTCGGAAGTCTGTAGGGGCCGACTCCCTGAGGTTTTGTTTGCACCTCCCAGCGGTCATATACTCACCCTTGAATGGCTGTAATAACTTTGGCCATGCGAACCCCCAAAAGTGGTCCTGCGCCATGCTTTTCCCACCGGATGGCACCTCTTGGTTTCTACAGGGGGGTCCCTGGATTGCCTGTTGGACCAGCAAATGGAGTCACACCCTGTAGGGTGCCAGGCTTTTTGAAGGCTTCCTTGGCCAGCTCGGAAACAACTAGTTGCCCTGGTCCCTTTTAAAGGAAGCCAAAAGGTCGCTTAAACAATAGCTGGCTAAACCCAGCCCACGGGAATCTTATCCCCCACCGGGCCTGAATCACCCCGCTTGGGTCAGCTGCCCAGGAGGCTTTGTTCCCTCCACTGCGGCGGAAGCGGTGGCTGCTGGCGGATGCTGCGACCTCGTAGCCTTTGGTGGCTTGGCCGGAGGAAAAAGGCCTAGCCCAGTTGTCTCAGGTCGCAGGTCGGGGTTGGGAGCCACTTGTGGATTTGTCTAGGTCGCAGGGTACTTTGCCGTAGAGGTCCATGGGCAACGTCAGGAGCTCTTCGCTGATCTTGGAAGAGGAGTCTAGGTTTGTTTGGGCTGGTTGTTCTCCCCGAGCCTTCCAGAGGCTTGAGGCAACACGCCGCGATTCCTTGGGGGGTGGTTTGTGCTGGGATGACCAGCTCAGGTGCGTGGGTGGGTTGCATGTAGCTTAAGTCATGCTGAGACTTCGCAACGAGGGAAATAGCCACTTCCCAAAACGGGCTGGCGATCCAAGTAGATAATGCACGGGAATCCCAAGGGTATTGGGGGGTGGGGGGTTTGGCGAGGTTGGTTGGGTTTGGTAAATAAAAGTCGTGAATCTTTGATCTACACCATTGACCCCCCAGGAATCGTTTGTTTCCCCTGATGCTCACCCCTAAGACGGTTGGCTTGATTTCGCCTTGCCTCCAAAACTAGTTGCAACCAGGGGGCCCAGGGATGTGGCCCAGTTTTTTTTTTATGAGTCGTTGCTTACACGAGACTGGTTGCTTCGTGCTTAATTCTGCTGTCTTGTTCCTTGCTACTTCGGAGGATGGGAGCGAAGTTGATCCAGCAGACCCCTGGTTAAGTACTGTAGTAGGGCGAGCGGGCATGTGGATCACTTATTGGCATGTCTTGTGAGCAACCCTGTTGCCTGGGTTTTTCTGCCCTTCCAAGGTCTTTGCAGCAGTCCTGCGGTTGGTTTGCTATCCTGAGGATGCAGAGTGCTAGCTCTCTCACACGGGGATTTTGCATTTTATTGGGCGACCACCATTTGGTGGCAAATTAAATGGCCAAGTTCCGCTCCCTCAACCGACTCTCACAGGCCGGTGGTTCCTGGCAAACCCGGACTTGCCGAAGCGTATCCAGGCGTTTGGGCCGTGACGGGCCGACGGATGAAGTTTGTGCAGGGGTTTATTCCCCGATGGGAACCCCCTCAGAAAAAAACTGGGTGTGTTGGCTTGTGATTTCCCCTTAGGAAAACCACACCAGCAAGGGAGATTACAACAGCACCCTCCCTGACTAACACCAGCAACAGCACGCAGAGCAGCACCCTGACCAGCACCCTGACTCCCCCGCTAAACAAGCACTGCCTGCATCGCAAGACAAGCACCACCCTTACTGCAACAGCAACCTGACCCGCCCCCACAACGAAACAACCCCCAACGACCCCCAAACATCACACCATCCAGCAACCACCACGCCAACCTTGAGCGTACCCCAAACAACACCCGACCCGAACTCGCAAAACAGCCTGCCCCTCTTTAGAAGTAAGAACCACTTATAGCTTTCAGCTAGCGGGGGAAAAGCACCTTTCCTGAGTCAAGCTTTGCATTTGCACCTGTTTGCGACATGCCATTGACTCATGAGTATTGCCAACCCATTGCCAGGTGTTCATCATCCATTTCTAGGCAAGCTAGCCAACTTTGTCCAGGCAACGATGTATCTTTGCTCACGCCGGTGTAGCCGAGTCTTGTGCTCAATCTGTGTCCGAAGAACATGGATTTGTCTAGGCCGGCGCTCCACTGAATCACTACCGCCGCGCGACTTTCTACACTCATGAGGACTCGACAGGGGGTCGTCCCTGCGCTCCCAGTTGCCCTAGCCGCGTCTGGGGCACACACATGAGGATGCAATGGATAAATTGGGCCAAGAGCAGTCGTCCTTTGGTGCCTGATCTCCCATCAGTATGCCATAGTCAGTAGAACATGAAGCAACCGACTATCTTCCCTCAAGTTTATCTTTCCGGGCTCCCGGCCGGGCTCATGAAATAAACAAGAAAACAAACCAGGGTTCATCTCAGCTGCAGACTTGGCGGAACCTTGCAGGAGGAGGGCTATGTGGACTACCCTGACCTCGCTGGCTCTGTGGGCCAAGCGGGGAAGTATGCTTTGATTGACGCCTCTGCGTTGGTTGCCCCCAAGGCTAAGCTGTGAGGGAGACGGAGTGTGAGCGACTTGCAGGTCAAAACCACGGGCTTTGTTGTTATTGGATATGGCTGAAACTTCTCTTGGGCATGAAGCTTGGGTGGTGCGAAAGTTCGTTTGATTCGGTTGGCTGTGGCCCTTTAAAAAAAGTTGAGTTGTCGCGCTGGGGTAAACTTGAGCTGTTAACCGAAAGGAAACACCGCCAGTTTTAGTGTCCTCCTATTTTGACATGCCCACTTGTTCTGCCAATCCTTCACCCGCCCGGCATTGCTGTGATGCTTGACACGGCGGCCTCGGCAGCGCATTTGGCGCTGCTGGCAGTTTGCTCAGGCGGCGAGGGCAAAAAAACGCCTCGACCCGGGCCTTTGATCATTCGTACTGTACTGTGTTCCTTATTTTTTTTTTCGTTTTTTTCTTCTTCTTCTTCTTTGTTTTGTTTTCTTTGTTCTTTTTTTCTTATTTTCTTATTGTCTTTCTTTCTTTGTTGCTTGCTTTCTTTCTTGCTTTCTTGCTTTCTTTCTTTCTTTCTTTCTTTCTTTCTTTCTTTCTTTCTTTCTTCCTTGCTTTTCACGGGTGGTGTTTAAACCGCTGGAAACGGGGGACTAGAAGAACCCCTGTTGTAGCTTGCGGTGTTGGAATTGGCATGTGCGGCGGTTTTTATGCTCAAGGCAGTATGCACTGCATGCCCAAATGAGTGGGCTGGCAGCTTTTGCCGAAATGACGCAGAGAAGCAGGGGACCGACAGAAGGGGCCCCGAGAGAGCCGCATCAGTTTGAAGCACGAGGCTCGCATGTTCTTTTGAAAGCCTTGTGCGGAAATGCTTGAAATAGTTCGCAGCCAACAGCCGTGCCTGTAGCAAGTTGTAAGGGGCTTCCTTTGTGGCGAAAACAGATTGGGGCAACCGTCTCTAGAGGGCACCCTGTAGCATCTTCCATGCGCCGCGCTGGCTGGTGCCTGGCCCTGTGCCTAACTGGACTCGTGCTTCGGGCCAGCGCAGATTGGACGGTGACTTCAGGGTCCCGCGGCTCACAGCGGATCGTGCGGGGTGAAGGTGAAGGGGATTGTGCCAAAGATGTGCCAACTATCTTGAGTTGGTTTCTCAAGAGCATAATTGCCCTCGGCTTCGGATGTGTCCTCACATAAACATGCATTTCTTAATATGTACAGCTTATATAGGTTGGATGTGCGTCGGCACTGAGGCCCTAAGAAGATTGGGCTGGGTTTCCAGAGGCCTTGCGCAATGTATCCTTTGCGGGCAAAACCCGCGTTTTTTTCGGGACCTCAATTGCTTGCAGACTGGGTCGCCGGCAGCAAGTTGCACGCTACCTGTTCAGGAGTTGCACCATTGATTCCGGCGGATGCGCGGTCAGTCCGCGATATCCATCTTCGTATGGCAACAACCAGGACTGTCCTGTTGGCTTCTGTTGGCTTGGGTGCTTAACAGTCTTTTGCTGGATCTAGGTTGCCACTTTCTGCGGGAATCCCGCTGCGGTATCAAAGAACGAATGATTCTCGAGGGAATGTTTGTTAAATCTGGTCAGCCAGATGGGGGTTGCCTTTTCGCATGCAACAGGTAGAGGCACACACGCACACAGTGTATACTAATATTGTCCTGCCTCATGCTATCGGAACGCATGTTCCTTCTTTCCTTTCTTCCTTCCTTCCTTCCTTGCTGCCTGCCTTCATTCATGCATTGCCATGCCATGCCACGCCATGTCACGCCACGCCACGTATGCATGCACACACATGTTTATGCACACACACACGCGCACTCACACATGTGCGTACATACACGCATGCATGAGTGTGTGACACAGTAACCTTTTGACACGCATTAGTTGCCGACGTTGCTGAGCCTTTGCCACGAGGATTGCACCATCGAGGTTGCGGCAGGCAATGTCAAGCCTATTTCGGTCGACATCTTTACGACCGAGAGGACCAAACGCGGGCGAAATTGGTTAAACAAGCAGTGGCCCTTGTAAGGGAAACCAAGCGGAGGTGGTTGCAACAATCATTGGGTGTCCTAAAGTGGGGAACCCAACTCCTGGGTTTCCGCTTGGTTTCTCGTGAGCACCCAACCAAAACAGGATTCCCCATTTTGGGCACACCTTCAATTGGCTGCCTGTTGCCAACTTTCCCTTCTATGCACCAGCGAACCTCATCCTAAGCTGAACTTTTGGCTTACCATATCTGTTGAATATCATTGTGTTCATACTTTGTAATAGTACAACAATATACCAAGCGGCGTGTTTGGCAATTGTAGTGTTTGCATTGACAGAGCTCAGCTCTAAATGCACGAGCAGGTGCGGAACTTGTCATGTCAGTCCTTAAACAGTGTCGTGATTTTTGCTTTCTCCCACCACACTGTATCCGCCACACCTAAATCACCAGCGGGTTCTACCTGGTGTCATGTGGGTTGTGGCAAGAATTGCGGGCATGTTGGTTCATTTTGGAACTACAAGTCCACGGGTTTCGAGCACTGCCCAATGGAGCAAGATTTATTCAATGCGTGTTTTTTTGACTTGCGTCGACTGGCACAGTGATGAAGAATCCCTGCAACACAGAGTTTGTAGTGCGAGATGCTGCAGGCAAAATGAGAGGGTTGTAGTTTGGAAGCTGAATGGGCAAGAGCTGGACATGTTGTTAGCACTATTCTCCGGTCAGGAGCTATGACATCCTCACTGTCAACGGGCAGGAGTACAGTGGGACGAGCGGCCCCGAGTACATCGTGCCGTCAGGGACTGTCACCTGGTCGTCGGTGCCCTGGCTGGATTTTATCGTGGTCCTTACCTGTCCCCGTTTGGGGGTTCAAACGTCGCTTTTGCCGGGGTCTCCTCCAACATGTTTTTCAGTTTGAGTCTGAATATGAAAGTAGCAAGTCTAGAGTTGGCCAAAATTGTTGGCAATTTAGGATCAACCTCCTTTGGGTGTGTTTAGGGGACATGTGGCATTTGTTCAAAGTACTTTTCTTTGCATTTTGAAGCTTTTGCTCAGCTTCGCTACATTTGGACCATACTTTTTTTTTTGGGGGGGGGGAGGGAGGGCAGAAACATTCGTGGCCTGCAAGCATTTGGGCCTCATTTGGGATGCGGGGAGCTGAGACTTGCATCTGATTGCAGCTCGGCAAGCTGGGCTCAACCCCTACCCCACCACTTTGGAGCCGAGGACTACTCCATCACCAGAGCCGGCTGGAGGCTCTGCCTTCAGGAGGGGCTGCGGTCTGCTTGGTAGCTGCTGGTTGGTTTGGAGGTGCCGTATTTTGTTTGAAGGGTGTCTGCTTTTGGCAACCTCTTTGGGGGTGTTGGATGTAGGCGAGATCCGATCAATGGCCGCATGCATGCATGACACCAGCATGTGTCACATTCGATGGCGCTTTGATCAACTGTTGACCGCACAATCAAGGGACTTGGGTCCAAGCTCGGTCCGTGTGCATTTTATGTGGAAAGGATGCCCTTGCCGTGGGCCACACGGCACCTCACACACGCAAACATGGACGATGAAGGAGCCGCGGATTGTTTGTTGAGGCCCCACAGGCAATAAGCTGTCCATTTCTTGCCCGCCCTCCCAGAAACAAATCGCAGAGCCCTTCTCAAGAGCCACTCTCAGAAAGGTTGCAAGACTTGGGGGTCAGTGCTGCTTACGGAGTGCCATCACGAACTGCCACACACACACACACAAGTGCAAGAACTTGCTCAGGATCAGCTCGGTGCTGGCAGTTTTGCATGCGTTGAAGGGTCGCAACTCTTCTGTCGTATTGCTCAAGGCCGCACTTCGCGCAAGGCGCGAGAAGGCGGGGCCAAGATTAATAGCCCCATAGGGGTAAGCGCCCGAGGTAGCCCCGGAGGGGCTTCTAGGGCGAAGGCCTTTGGACACTTGGTCGGATGGCCATCCACTCAAGGAATGTCAGGGGCTTCACCTCAAGCTGACCAATCAGCATCCGCAGGAAGAAGGAATGGCTCGTTCCAGGGCTTTCCAGCAGCTTCACCTTGAATCAAGTTCTGGACCAATGTGCATCAGCCCTCTGACGCTTCAGGGTGAGTTTGGGTAGTTCGATGCAATGGCGGGGCCGACATGATCCCACGGCTTCTGTGGCTCTGCTGCGTCCTTCGGGTGCCTGGGATGCAATTTTTTGAGGGGGCCTGAGGGGTAATTCGGGCGAAATAGGGAAGGTCCTCCCGAAGTTTGAGCTCGCCAAGAATGCCAAAGATGCAAGCATCATACTGCCGCGGAGAGCATTTCAAATACAATTTCCGCTCAGCTTCTACGGTGTTCCTCTAAACTTTGGGTGCTCGCAAAATGTGCTTCGCTCTCGGCTTACTGCTCCCTTTACAAGTCAGGACCCCACCGACGTGCGCTGTGTTTTTTTCTGGTGTTTTTTCCCCCCCTTTCTTTTGCAGCCCCCGACGTGCGCTGCTTCTTTTTTTTTTCTTCCTCCAGTCAGCTTCGCAGCGCTGGCTCGAGGGGCTCGCCCGGAGCCCGGGGGTCTTCCGGCCCCTCCCCGAACCAAAATGCAGTGCAGCCGCGGGCTGCTGGCTGCAGCGCTGGCGCTGCTGAGCGCCACGCTGCAGGGCTGCGACTCCGCTTTGGGCGCTTTGGCTGCCGGGCAGGGGGGAAGGGGGGGTTTGGCGGCCCCGCGCCGGTGGATTTCTATGGGGAGGAAAGGGGCGCCCATTGTTGGGTTGCTGAATTGACATGGCAGCACCTCTGTCCAGCTGAACCGGCTGGTGCGGTGTGAAGACGGCGAGTATGTTTGGAAGCATTCGTGCAGACGAAGTTTTGGCAAGGGCCCAGTCTGCCGAGTACAATCTACCTTCCTGAATATTCGTGGCAAGCTTACTTGGGGGGTAAACTGCCCTCATCCATGACGATACCCTTTGTGTTGCGCAGCCTTGCCCGTTCGGGCCGCAGGTTTTGTTCTTGGGCGTGCCAATCCCTGCTAGTTCCTGAGTGGTGCTAGGCATCATTGTTTTTTGGCGCTTCGCACAATGGTGATTTGAAGCTGGCCAGAGGAAGCGCACTCAACACATGGCTGAACGATGGCGTTGGACTGGCAACGAGAGGTTCGGTCAACATGCTTATTAGCCTACGGACCCACTCCATTTTCCACATATCAAACCAGGTTATTGGGCTCACGCATTGCCCAATGAGGGTTGTGCGCAGATTTACAGCTGCTCACGACAAACTTTAAGCTTCCTGCCTGCTTTCCCTCATTTGGAATCCGACTCAGAAGGCAAAGGCATGGAGTACTGGTGTGTTCGGTGACGGCTCCAATCTGTCCCGTGGAATCCTCAAAAAAAGAGAGAAATCCGACTCCGAGGCATGCTGGACCTGCCGGACATTGATAGCTTCGCGATCTCTTTGCCGGAGTGCTTTGGTAGCAAGCAAGCAAGCGGTGCTCGGCTCAGATCCCTCCTGCGAGCAGTCCCGTCAAGTCAGCATGGCTTGGGGGATGAGTTTTTGTTTGTGAGATGCCGGCAGTGTCGGCAACATGGCGCTGAAGTGCTGAAGTGCGCGCTGCACATTAGCCGCGCCTGCTTTCAGCTGACTGAGGAAGTGGTTCAGTGTGCACCAGGTGCCCTACTGGCGGAAGCAGCCAGACTACTGGGCCCGAGAGTCTTACAAGGATCCCAAGAGCGGAGAGCTGCGGTTCAACTCCTGCATGAACCCCAAGCTGCCCGCCGCTTGGCCGCTGTACGCAGTCCAACGCTTCAACCCGTAATTGGCCAGGTGAAGCGGGGAGGGCTTTTTTCGGGCACAGGGGTCTCGCAAAGTCTGAGGGCGTGTTTGCAAGATAAATTTGTGAGCGCACACCCGGGCACAAGCCGCATGAGGCTGAGTCAGCAAAGGGTCAACTCGAGGGGATTTTCACGCATGCACGCACAAGCATGCGTGCACTCCCTGGCTTTCCGCAACAGCAAACATTCCCCCACGAACACTGCATCAACCCAGTGACCGACCCCGATAGCAATCCCGCAGCTGCAGCTCTTTTGCAAGGCCTAGGCTTGTTCGCAGGTGCTGCAGAGCCTCCTTCCAGAAATTTGGTTCTGCCTCAGAAATCGAGCTAACACAGTAAACTCAGTTCCTCCCCGCGTGACGTGCTTGAGCCGAGGTGGCAGAGGTGTGCAGCGGGCGCGGCAGCTGCCTGCCCTTCGCGCAGTCAGGGCTGTCCTTCTGCAAGTGCCGCAGCGGCTTTGGGGGCGCCGAGTGCGAGCTGCGGAGGCTCAGCCAGACCAAGGCGCAGGGGAGTGTGGCGACCGGGGGAGGGGGGTGAGGCGGGGACTTGGGGGGCTGGAATGGTTTGGAAGGCTTGGGGAGGGGCCAAATTGTGGACTTCACTGGTTGGAGAGAAGGGGAGGGTGGTACCATGGTGGCATGACTTGGGTACTTGCAACAAGGTTTTTTTTCTTTTGCGACTTCCTGGTTGGACAACATGTTGCTCTTGTGAAGCCAAAAATCCCCTTGGAGTTATGCTAAACTTCTCCACAAAGGGGCAAAAGGACTACCCAAGATGGCGCGGTTTTCGTGCTTTGCAGGCCTGGGTGCTGTGCCTCTTCCTGGGCGCCTTTGGGGCGGATCAGCAGCTCAGAGCAAAGGGGGAAAAGGAGGTGTGGTTGTGGCACTTTCCATGGTTTGATATTGGGTTGGTTTGCTTATTTGGTTTGGCTTGGTCGGTTTTGTCGCTTTTGTCGCTTTTTGTGTTCCTGTTTTGATCTTGATTGTGTAGGTGTTGATTGTTTGCTTGCTTGCTTGCTTGCTTGCTTGCTTGCTTGCTTGCTTGCTTGCTTGCTTGCTTGCTTGCTTGCTTGCTTGCTTGCTTGCTTGTGTGCGTGCGTGCGTGCGTGCGTGCGTGCGTGCGTGCGTGCGTGCGTGCGTGCGTGCGTGCGTGCGTGCGTGCGTGCGTGCGTGCTTGCGTGCTTGCGTGTTTGCTTGCGTGTTTCCTTGCGTGTTTCCTTGCGTGCTTGCGTTCGTGTTTCCTTGCGTGCTTGCGTGCTTGCGTGCTTGCGTGCTTGCCTGCTTGCCTGCTTGCCTGCTTGCCTGCTTGCCTGCTTGCCTGCTTGCCTGCTTGCCTGCTTGCCTGCTTGCCTGCCTGCTGCTTGCTTGCTTGCTTGCTTGCTTGCTTGCTTGCTTGCTTGCTTGCTTGCTTGCTTGCTTGCTTGCTTGCTTGCGCGCGCGCGCGCGCGTGCGTGCGTGCGTGCGTGCTTGCGTGCTTGCGTGTTTCCTTGCGTGCTTGCTGGCTTGCTGGCTTGTTTGCTTGCTCGCTCGCTCGCTCGCTCGCTTGCTTGCTTGCTTGCTTGCTTGCTTGCTTGCTTGTGTGCATTGTTGTTGGTGTTTTTGTTTGTTTGTTTCTTTCTTTCTGTATTTCTTTCTTTGTTTCCTTTTTTTCTTTCTTTCTTTCTTTCTTTCAATGTTTGTTTGTTTGTGTGTCTCTCTGTGTGTGTGTGTGTCTGTCTGTCTGTCTGTCTGTCTGTCTGTCTGTCTGTCTGTCTGTCTGTCGGTCGGTCGGTCGGTCGGTCGGTCGGTCGGTCTGTTTGTCTGTCTGTCTGTCTTTTTGTTTTTGCTTGGCTTTGGTTTTGCTGTCCTTTGCCTGGTTCTGCCTGTCCGTCATCTGCCTGTCTGTCTGCCTGCCTGCCTGTCTGTCTCTGTCTGGCCTTTGCCGTGCTTTCATGCAGCTCAGCTTAGTTTTGTGTTTCTGTCCCTGCCTTTTTTGTTAGCATGGGCCAGTGCGCCGGTTGAATAAAATATGACTGCTTAGTGTTGTTCTGGCTGCAGGTGGTTGCTAGTAACGCTGTGGTGAAGGAATGCAAAATATGAAAGAGGAGCAAGGCACATGTCTTGGAGAGTGACATGTTGTCGCCTGGGATCCATTTGAAACCAACATGGATGGACAGCTTGGCGTGCATTACGTTTTGTCTTTTAAAATGGAATTGACGGACAAAATGTGACGCCTGTCACGTGGCTGAGTGTTCTCGAATCACATTGCCCCCCCTCGGTGGGGTCGGTCAACCTTGGAGCCTGAGGGCGTTGATTTAATTCAAAAAGCCTGGGCGATTTCTCGACGCGACAGGTATTATCTGGGGTGGTACCTGGAGATGTTCACCACCCAGATTCTGTCGGTGCTTGGCCTGGTCTTGCTTAGGGTCATGCCCTACTCAAAGCTTCCAGGCGGCTGGGCGCGGAAAAGAGAAGAGTTGTTTGGACCCAGGTTGAATTTGTAGGAACGAGGGGAAGGGTGTTCCAAGAGGGAATCTTGTTGCGGTTTTGGTCATTGAACTCGCAGTCCTTATCATCCGACCCCACACCCGCCGCCCCTCCAACCCGCCACCCGTGAAAGAAGGAAGTTGCCAAGTGGCCATGGGTCAAAACCATAATGGTACCATTTTGGGGTAGGTGCACCACCCATTTTAGTTTTTTTTAGTGGGGGTTGGGCTGTTCACTGAGGTTACGGGATTTTGACCCATGGCCAAGTGTCTACCAGGCTCGGCTTCCGCAAAGGCCACCCCGCCCTTCTGCCGCCACTTCCAGCGAGGCCTGGCGCTGCTGCTGGGCCCCTGGCTGCGCCACGTGGTGATCTTGGGCTCCGCGCCGGGGCAGGCGCAGACCGACCGCACCGAGCAGGACCTGCCCCGCCGCTCGATGCGCGAAGCCGAAGAGACCTGGGGGACCAATGGACATAGAAACCTGAGCAAGAAACGGAGTGCTGGGAATTTGGTTTCTTTTATTGTTTGTTGGGGGAATGGCCTGTGAGTCAACCAGGGGTTTCGTGAGTCCAACTGAGACTCCGTCTTGACGGATTTAAGTGGAACCTGATGGAGAATTAGGGGTGGGTTCTTTATCCAAGTGAAGGATCTCCCTTGACACGAGACATCCTCTTCACCAACCAGGGGTTTGTGAATCCAGCGTTCCCATGTCTCCGCAGGGTTCATGATCAGGAGTCACACCAGCCCGAAACCACCTGGCCCCTTACGCGGAAAATAGGGTATAATGGCAACGCACGATGAGCAAATACCACAGATTTCTCAGGAGCGTTTTCGGGATCCAATACCAGAGAATCTGAACTGTGATGCGGGCCTCTGGGACCACCCCGAATTAGTACGGCGCGTTTGCCAGAAACATTTCCCGCACAAACACTCAAAAACACTCAATTTATTTAATTCCGACCCACTCATGAAACAAAACAACATGATTTCCTGATGCGTCCTCAATCCCGCAGTGCGGCCAGCTACAACTACCTTCTCAGGAACCCGGTTAATCTGAGATTTGACCTTGTCCGCTCATGATGAAGGTCCCAAATTTTTGGATGCCCTGATGTAGGTTGGAGAGCTGTTGTAATTAGTGCCGGTTCTCAACCATGGCTGAAAGGACCACGTGTTTCCCCTTTTCCGGGCCTACGTTTAATCAGAATTTCAACAGGGTTAACCTTTCACTTCCAGGCCTTTGGTTGCGAGTGAGCTAGCAGCATCTTACATCTTTGCCCTTGGTCGGTGTGAGCAGCAATGTGGAATTCCCAGACCACCTAATACACACTCAGATGATGAGTTACTCAAAGACGAAGGGTTTCCACCTTCAACATTTTTTGCCATCCTTTCCTTTGACGATTGCCGATTGCTACCCTTGCCCTTTCAACCTGAGAAGAAATTGAAACCCTAGCTCTCCAATGGAGCTCTTTCCAGGGGTCACCAAACAATCTTCAACCCTAGACCGGCCTGTTGAGGGCCACCCTAAACTTCGATATTGCTTGGGTTTCGAAGCCACCAAAGTGGAGCCAACCAACAGGAGTTGGTCCCCTTTCTTCACCGAACAAGGCACCGGTTCCCACTGAAAAAAGATGGGCTGGTTCCATGCAACGTTGGGGTGTTCCCTTCTTTCCTTGATTTGTTGCTTTGAGGGCGCTTGATGGGCTAGAGCCCCCGCGACTTGTTTCGTTTTTTCTTCGGGAAGGCAGGGGGTTCAAATTTCTTGGTGAATTAATCCGGGCCTTGGTCAAAAGGTGGCTGCGCATCCCTCAAATTTCTTTTGGTGGGATTCTTTATTTTCGTGTGCGTGTGTGCGTGCGTGGATGGGGAGGGTGGGAGGGTTCGAATGACCAAGGCTGTGCCTTCGTAGCCTTCTCCCTGCTGCGCCTTGGCTTGAGACGGATTTCCAGATGCTAAAATCCGAATGGCCGGGCGGTGGGTTGATTTGCCCCCCCCCCCCCCCGCCCCCCAAGGGTTGGGAATCAGCAGAATGGGTGGTTTCCATTTGGTACCACCGTCCCCTGAACCAACCAAAGAAAAAGGATGGGTACCCAACCAGGGTCGAGGTTGGCTTTTTGGTGTCCAATTTGAGAATGCAAAGAAAGAGAGGGCCAAGGACAAAAGTGCGTGGCTCAAGAGCAACGAAGTTGCCGCGTTCCCCTACGGGGGGCTAGGTGGTGCACCTTTGCTTTTTGCGGGTTGTAAAAAGGAAGCTGCATGAGAGGCATTCATATTCCCCCGCGTTTCTTGCCACAATGGGCCAAGACCGAGCCGGGGTCAAAGGAGTTGGATTTACATGCGCTGTTTGTTGAGCAAGCTGCAGTTTGCCTGGCTTTCCTGCGAAGGGCCCACTTCCCAATGGAGTTCGCTGAGCTGCCTGTTCTTGCACAGTCCTTTGAGCGCGCCCTGGTTCCTGCCTTGCAAGCCATGTCTTGAGCAATTCGCGGAGTTCGGAGCTATGGCCAAGCTGAAGTTTGATTGCGATCCGGCAGGTGGATCGCTTTCATCGCGCTGGCCCTGTGCATTATAGACCTGAAGTATCAGACGCAGGCCACCGCGCCGTTTGGGTCCACCAAAGTGAGCAGTTTGAGGGCTTCGGGGGCCATTTCCCTTCAAACCCCTCGCCATTTGGAGGACTTTCAGCCCCAATTCTCCAAGAAACCTCTCTTGCCTAAGGGCAGAAGATCAGTGGGCTTCGTAAACTGTCGCTCGAGGTCGATATAGGAAGACTGCTGCCAGGAGGCAAGCTTGAGTCCGGCCTTCGGCATGAAGCAAGAGATATCTTGGAAATCCAAAGTGGAGCATCTTCATTCTCAAACTCGGCATGAGGTGTCCCAAAGCATGCCTAAAGCAACATGACGACATCTCACTTCGCGAAATGATGCGCTTGGGGCCAGGTGAAGCGAATCAACCAAGACCAGCTCCGCAACTACAGCGCGGCAAAGATCATTGCTTGAGCGTTTTCCCTCGACGTCGATGATCGCACATGCCGCGATCAAAAAAGATGCGCAGGGTCGCTGAGTCGCTGAGTCTGGTGCTTTTCGACCGGGTTTGGGAGGTATCGAGGTTTTTCAAAGCTTTATACTTCCTTGCAAGATTATGTTGGTGCCATGTAAGCCTCCATGCCCACAAGCTGCAAGTGACCTTGAAGCACGTCTTCTCTTGCTTTGTTCGCTTCAGCTGCTGGTTTCAAAGCGCGGAAGGGGGCCTTGTGCAGTATGGTTCAACAACAGTTTGTGTCATGCTGATTCTGGAATCTGAAGTTCCGGAGTTGCTTCATGCCAGGTTCAGCATCAACCCCTGCAATATAAGTGGTTGATATATTCCGCTCGGGACGTTCGGCAACGCAGCGATTTTCTTCTTCTTCTTTTTTTTCTTCTTCTTTTCTTTTTTCGGAAAACATATTCATAGGCTCCAAGCTTGGTCCTGGTACTGGCGCCCTGACTTGCAGCTTGCATTCTTTATTTATTCTGGTTTGCTTCAGCTGGCTCATACGTCCATCTTTCCACCCGAGGCCACTGCCCTTGACAACTTGGGGCATTCGGACGGCCGCCGGCGCAGTAGCAACCGCCGCCGCAGCGGCGATGGTAAAGGCGGCAAAGACGATGGCGGCGAGGACGACGACGGAGAGGTGGACGGGTTCGCTTTGGATGTGTCCCCGGCATTCTTCGTGCGGCGCTGAGTGAATCACTTCGTCAATTCCGTCTTCCTGCCTGAAGTGTCGAAAGCCAATGCTTTTATCCTTAATTGTGCCACATGGTAGTGGTTTCTCTTGTTGCGGCAAATTCCCTTGTTGCGGGCGGTGGATTGTTCAACTGGGGATTGCGAGGTCTACAATTTTAGGCCAGAGACTCGGTCGTATTTCTGCCCGCTCTCGCAGAAAGTGAAGTACACATGTGGAGCCCATTTTTTGGGGGGGCAGACAGGGAGAGCGAGTGCTACAGCCGGTAAGCCACGATGCCATCGCCGTGCATGTCAGTGGCAAAATGCATGCGATGCCCATGAGTAGCGCTGTGCCAAGGACATCCGTACCTGGGCAGAGCTTGGTGCTGTCGGTTCTTGTGTGTTGACTTACGCGAGCCGGGCACGTCGCCGGGCTGGGCATGTGCAGTTTTTGCTCTTTGTCGACGGGCGAGCGGGCTGGGTGTATGTGTGCCCATTCTTGCCTTCAGGCGCTTCCTGAATTTAGAGGAGGTCCCCAGTTTTGGGGGCGACAATCCTTGATCCGGGTTTTGAGGGGAGGGGGGGTAGTTCCCCTATCAAACAAATCCGGGTCGGTGCCACGTGTAACGTGGCAAACTAGCATGGACATGCTGAGCGGCCCTAGGAGACGACCATGCCCGTGTCCACAGCACCTCCCTTAGAATCGACAACCCCAGCGGCGCGGCCGGTGTGGCGGAGATCTCCCTGCAGAGCCTTGGAGGGAAGATCAGGGTCCGGCGCGCACGACCAGAATCCAACATTGCTTGGCAGGGTGCACCGCTGTGTTTCTTTTGGTTTGGATTTTGCGTATCGCCTTTGGGCCAAGCTAACCTGGCTTCTTTAGATGAGGTGATGGTTGAGCACATGCAGGGAACCACAATAAAACATTGAAGACCTTGCTAGGGAAGTCTGGCCATGGCATCACATAAGGATGTTTGACCATGGCACACATGAGGGCCTTGACTTTGTTTCGTTTGAGTGGGAGGTTCTACATTGGTGCTTTCCTTATTCCCCCTTATTGAAAGATTATGGGTACCCTCAAAAAAGGCAGGCTCACGTCTTCAGGATTCTCCTTTTTACACCTAAGCGTCGTCTGTCGTTTGTGCTATCGCGACAGCCGGCTTTGCCTTTGGGAGGGCGGGGTAAAGGGGTTCCTGGAGTTCTCTAAAAAGCCTAGTTCTTTCAGGAGCCTTAGGGAGCCTTCATCCTTCTGGAATTCTCATCTTGCCGCATTCCTAATGTCAAAACTCGTCTTTGGGGATGGTTTTGAGGAGTAAGTCATCCAGAAGCTCCGTAGCTCGCTTGCAAGGCATGGGCAAAGCAGGGGGGTAGCCTCTTTGCCACACGCCCGGGGTGCTTTGGTGTGAAGCAACGTCAAGGCCACAAGCCCCCTCCAGAGCGCGACTCTCACGAGGCACCCAACGGCGCGGCGGCTGGCGTCAGAGGGCCTCGTGGTCTTGAAGGGCCGCGCTGAGGCAGGGGCTTCCCGTGAGCGGGTGCGGGGGCATGATGGTGATCGATTCGGCCATATGGCTTTTATATGAGAGTCGTCCGAAAGGTCCTTGTATTGAGCTATGAAACGGAAGACCTTTTGGTCTTGGCGTTGACCTCCGCGAAAGTTCCGCGAAGGGGGTCGCGAAAGTTATTTTTTTATTCGCGGAAGTTTGTGTATGGGTGGCTTGCTAACAGGAAGGTGGAGTGATGAATCATGTTTATTTACCGGCAGTGCATACGCAGACTGCCAGCAGATTACAGTTGGTCGGGGAACGCGGGGCCTGAGTGTTGCCGCAGAATACGTCGCTGCAAAAGCAACCCCGGGCCAGCAGACACCAGCTTGTAGGAGTTTTCAAGTTGAGTGCAACTTCCAGCCGGATTTTCGCGAATGTTTGGAGCAAGATCCGCGAAAGTTTCGCGAAAGTTGACGGACCTCCCCGCCAGTTTCCGGACATGAGGCCAGCGGGTCCTCTCGTGTGTAGCTGACGGCTTGTGAGCTGGAGCTGCGAAAGCGCGCTTCGCGTGCTACTTTGGAAGTGAAAGGTCGCGACTTTCGAGCTGGGGCTGCGGAAGTTTACTTTGCGTATTACTTTCGTATTAAAAAGCTTTGACTTTCGGGGCAGCTGATGTTTTAGTTCGTGTACTACTTTCGTATTGAAAAGTTGCGACATTCAAGCCGGGCTGCGGAAGTTTACTTCTTGTACTACTTTCGTATTGAAAAGCTGCGACTCGCGGGGTGGGGCTGCGAAAGTGTAGTTTGTCTACTACTTTTGTGATGAATGTTCTGCAAACAGCCCCGCGAAAGTGCCGCGATGGGGCCCGCGAAAGTTTTTGTTCTCACGAAGATGGCGGTTTCCGGAACAAGGAATTTCAGACAGCCGTCATATATATATATATTTATTTAATATATATATATATATATTTATTTATTTATATACATATGTATATATATATATATTTGTAGTGAGAAGGAATTTGAGCACGGACCCTTTGAGCCAACAACTTTGCAATTGGGCGTTGAACTGTTGCAGTTGGTCATCTGAATGGGGGCCTAAAGGAACCCCCCCGCCTTTGTTTCGGGTCAGTTTTGGCAATGCGAACCTTGAAGCTTCTCGAATGCGGGGCTCAGTCAGCGGCCTCCAAAGGCGCTTTCCACTGCCCAGTGGATTTGACCCCTTGCTACCTTACTGGGGTGGGTTTCTCTCTGAACAGTAAGAAGCAATGCTATTTTCCATGGCCGTGGGCGACCCCTTGTCCAAATCCAAGGCTGGGAAGTTTTCAGACTGTTTGGTTTTCGTGGTGGCTGCCCGGCAGCTTGAACTAGCAAGCTCCATCGTCGGCTGCTCCTCTGCGTGGAATTCCAAGGCTGTTGAGAGCCACTTTTCCAGGTACCGGGGACGCACGCCCAATACAGAGAGCCTTCCCGATATCATTTCCCCTTGGGAAGTCATGTGTGGAAGGCTGCCCACGGTTTGCCCAGCTGATTGGTGCACCCCCTCAATGAACCAAGGTTGCATGTCGGATTCCGACCATGCAGAGGAATGGGTTGCTTTGTCTCATTTTGCCCTCCGGGAAGACTAGTGACGTGGGAACCACCCGTCCCGCTGAACACCGGCTATTTCCTTGAGCCTTGAATGCTCGAGGCGGTGACCCAACGGCGCTTGCAAGAGGCAGGGCGGTTTTACATTGAGGCCAGGCTAAATATAAAACCCTCGACAATTGGACCCGGTTTCCCTTTGCCCTTTCAAGCAGCCAAAAACAAAAACACACTTGCATACCCTCAAAATTCGGAAGCCGACGGGTATTTGATTTAGATATGAGCGGCCCTGAGGGGTCCGAGGAGGATTGAGGTTTCCGGGCCATGCGTGTTCTTTTGTGGTTGACAGTGGCAGTGGGTGTCAAAGTAGCCGAAAATGGTCAAAGTGCGAAAGCGGCTGCCAGGCTCCAATCATTCTACCACTGGGCTGCTTTTGAGAGTGGTTACTTTCATGTGTTTCTGGGGCCCAGTCATGGATTTCAAGTTCCCCATCACTTCATGGCTCAAACCATTGGAGCTTATCTCCCTCTCCCCCCAGTTTGTGTTTAGCACGTAGTTCATAGCATCAGGACACGACCCCACCTCCAACACAGGTTCTCTGAACCTTTCGATCGGTTCTCGGGAGGTTCGAGGGTGTCGGGATATTAGAAACGATAAAGCCTCGTTCAGTAGGCCCATATGTGCCAGGGTCAAGAGTCTTTTCCTTCGAGCTTGTTGCAAAAGCAGGTTTGGTGCAGGAAATACACGCTCCCCTGCGGGGAAATTCCCCCTGAGTCCAAGATTGTTGAATGAATGCAAGAAGACTTAATACGTTCTGCGTCAAAACTCCTTTTCTCATTTTAGAGTCTGCCTGAGTCAGCAGCGGCGCCGTGGTGTCCACTGCAGGGGGCAACGAACGGGGCATAGCCCCAGAAAGAGCGACGCAGCCCTTGTACGGGCAATGTCACCTTTCATTGCCAAGAACAATACACAGCGCATGCATGACTGCAAGCTGATGACAACGGCACGCATCGCAACGCCCACGGCTGACGCATTGCACAGGGACCCGAGCCAATGGGTGGTTAAACTCTCCCTGAATAAGAACCGTATCACTGTTGTCTAGATTCCAAAACAGGGTCACTGACCACCCCTACTTGTTATTTTTCCACCTCCATTCTGCCAGAACTGCAGCCAGCCCCTGCTGCTGCTGCGGCCCCGCAGCCACCAGAGCGTGCACGCCACGCGGCGCCTGGCAGAGCTGCCAGGAGAAGACCGCGGCAACCCCCCTCTTCATCCCCCCGAAAGAGGCCAGTCATCAGTTTTCCTGTGGATTTGGATGTACCCCGGCGAGCTGCTAGACAAGCCCTGCTTGCTCGGCGGATGTGGTTCCTTTGCGGGGGCCAGTTCTGTGGCCCAAGCCGACTTCGGCGAAGGATTGGAGAACGGGCACGTGGTGTTCCTGCCGCACCTTGGCCTGGGCATCGCGAAGCTGGACTGCACCAAGGACGCCGCGGACGTGGCCAAGCAGCTCGAGACCCAGCATCCAGGCGCGTGAAATGTGATGCCCAGGGTGTTTCTCACGCCGAGCTGCTTCTTGTTTCACCGTTTGGAGATCTACCCATTTCTTTTGCTTTGTTTGTGCGCGGAAAGCGGGAGGGGGTAACCTGTGCTATGGACACTTGGAGTCTCTTTTGCAGACAAGAGCAAATAAATACAACTACCGTGAAAGCAGGTGATTGCTACATAGACGCTAAGTGTCTATCAAACAAGGGATATCCCTTTTTACTGTTTTTTCAGGGTCATGTTTTGTTTGAGGGTACAGCGTTTTTTTTTTTTTCAAATAGGTTCACACTTGTGCTCCCTGTGGAACCACCTGCAGGAAAGGGTGCTCTCCTTCTCCGTCCCCGAATCAGAGAATCCACGCCCCTTCTAAAAGCCATTTCTTTTATTTTGTGCCCAAGGGGCCCTTGTTATGATTCGCCGGAAAATATCCCATGGGCTTGTCTCTGAATCCCAAGATCTTTTATACTTCCCTTTCAGCCACTCCAAGACAACATGAGGCACTGTCCCATTGGAAGGAGGGGAAGCATATACACAGATGTATATACATATATAGTATCTATATATATACACATATATATATATATATGTGTACACACCTTCAGGGGTTGCAATTTGTTTTTTTGGTCCAGGGGACTTGGAGTTCGTGGAGGTGGATGCCCGGAGCTTCTTCAAGTTCAACGGCTCCAACGCCACAGCCGCGCCAGGAGACTCCTCCTGGAGCCGGCAGTGGGGCATGCGGCGCAGCGGCTTTGAAGCCGCCTGGGCCAAGCTGGAGCAGATGGAGATGGAGCCCAAGGAGGGGGGCAGGGATCGGCGCCTGCCAGACAGCGTGCGTCTGATGATATGTATATATATATATACGCTCCAGCAGTTGCCATGGGGCCCTCATGGGCCATGATGTTCGCCGGGGTTTTGGGATTCGTAGGGAGCCAGCATGACCATCATGGGATCTTGTATGGCCATCATGACCTGTGAGCCTCATTGACTACTTCACCACGAGGGGAAACATCTCCCTTGATTTGGAGGGTGCCAGCACCCGCAGCACCAGCACCTCCCGACAGGGTTCAACATGGATTCCTGCAAAGCGTTGGTGTATATTATAAAGATGTTTCGAAGCTTTTGTAGGACAATAAATTAGTGAACCGGCCACGCCTAATCCGAGAGGCAGTCACAGTGGCTGTGCTGGACACTGGCGTGCAGCTGAACCACGACACTTGGGCCAGTGGGAGGGGGATCATGGGTTTGGTTGCCACTTGTGAGTTTCAAGTGACACGGTCGTAGAGATGGGGACCCTTTGGTATGGCAGAAACAGTGGTTCCAAAAGCACCTATGGCGGTCTCTGTTTTGAGGGGTTTTAATGGACCCCTCCGAAGTTGAATGTTAGAGAGGGCGAGCGTTTGTTTTGGTTCTCGTTTGTGTGCGTGAGCACATTTAGGTTTTTGGAAGGCGAACTCCTGGGAGGCAATCTCGGACGCAAACCCATGTTTGCTTCTTGCAGTAGTGACTGGATGTTGGTTTGGAGCGCATCGGCCCATGTTGTGTGCTATTTTCGGTTAGGGCTAGCACACATCATGGGCCGATGTTCCAAGTGCGGTAGTGCACCTTTTAGCTTGGTCTCCTTTGGCTTCATGAGGAAGACCTGCAGCATCGGCTCTGGGTGAACCCCGGGGAGATCCCAAACAACGGCGTGGACGACGACGGGAACGGCTACGTGGACGACGTGCATGGCTGGGACTTCGCGGATGATGACAACGACCCCTCGGACGAGGATCGGGTTAGACTCAACCCCCTGCGTTATGGAAGCCGCCTGTTTCAACTATCTGCCCTTCGTTCCCCTTAGTTGGGCTCCCATCCGCTGGTTGCAATTTTTGCAGAGGATGGGCACGGGACCCACTGCGCCGGCGTAATCGGCGCCAACCAGAACGATCGGGGGGTTGCGGGTGCTGCAGGCCGGCGGTGGGGCGGGGGGGGCGGTGGCAGGTTTTTGCTCTCTAAGTGGCTTTGCGATTGTTCCTTCTTAGGGTTGCCAACGGGAGGTGTGGGCGGATATGTGAGGATCCTCACTTGTCCCATCCGCTAGGCTCTTGAGGGCTACGCCGTTGCTTTTTCCAAGATGCCCATCGTTAGCCTATCCCCAAGCAAGTGGCCCTTTCTCCACTTGGCACGATATGGAGCTCGACTGCGAAACCCTGAAAGACCTGCCAGTGCCAGCCTGTGGCCCATGACGCACTAGGAAGTTGCTGGCGTTCTCAACCATATCTATCCTGGGCCACAAACTTGTTGGTTGTAACTCGCCCTTTCTTTTAATATAGGCCCATGTTGGGCCCTTGGTTTTGCATTGGCCCAACTTCGTGAGGGGCGCTGACAATGGACCATAGTAGACACCACTTGCAAAGGAGCCAAGGAGCCCACGATGTACCCACGATGTAGCCATACACTGCAACCCTTTCCGAAGTTCCCTACTCCATTCACATTGTTCTCACCGGCTGAGTGATTGAACTCAGCACCAGGCTTCCCGTTTTTCGGCTTTTCCAAGGATTTCTGGAAGCGGTCAGACCGAGTCTCTCGTTGCCGTTTCCGCGCAGGTGGCAACTCCGAAGTGCGGATCATGGCGCTGCGCTTCTTGTCCAGCGATGGGGGTCGCACCTCTGACGCGACTCAGCTGCAACAAGCGAGTGGAGCTTCTGTCCTTTGGGGTTTCCACCTCTTGGCTGGGTCTACGTCCAATGAGGTCATAAAAGCTTCAGCTTTGTTTTCTTTCCTCCCCCAAGCATCCCAAGCTTTCGGTTCGAAGCCCGCGGTTTTAGATGCGGTGTTGGTCTCGGAGGCGATCCTGGCGCTGAACTACGCCCTGGCCAACGGCGCGGAGATTTCTTCCAACAGCTGGGGCTCTTTGGCTCCAACGTCGGCGGGTAGGGGGGTGGGGGGGGGGGGCGGGTGGGTGGGGTGGGTGGGGGGGGTGGGTGGTTCGGAGCTGGGGGTCAGCTTGTTTTGTTTTGGCGCCTTTTTCCTCGTGGTGTACGGGCCAAACAAATCAGTTGAGGGGTAGAACAATCAGTTGGGGGAAGAGGGTGTTGGGGAGTGGTGCGTGACTCTAGGATGCTGGGTTTGAAGCTAATATGATTCTGTGATACCACCATAAATGAGTCATAAGGATCGCCTGCTCTCTTTTTTGGTCACGGACAGGGCTTCCCCTGCAGAAGGTGGAGAGGGCAGGCATTCTCAGAGGTTTGAACCGCAGCTCTTTCCCTTCAATTGGACTGCACCGAAGCTTTGTGATTGAAAGCTTAAATGGGGATGCCCACACCAAGATCATAGTAGCTTGGTCATGGCACATTTCCACAATGGAAGATGCCTTCGTCGCAATATGATCTTCGTTTCATGCGCATCAGGGCTGGCAAAGTTGGCTTGCTGGACACTTTTCTTGGCTTTTCGGCTCCTTGCCAAACCCTTCACTTCAAACTTCAAACATTTCCATAAGAAGCTGACTGCAACAAAATTTATTTGCTGCTGGCATCTGATTAACGACAGGCATCCCATGGAGAGGATCTACTTTTGTCACGGTGCGCGCTTTGTGATTCGGGCAGGTTCAATCCATCCGGCCGGGGGGCGGCCGGGATATCTTAATAGGGGCCACCAAGAACCATGCAGTCTTAGAGGCTTGATTTGACTTTCTGTAGAGGGTCATCTAGACAACGCTTTGGATGTTGCCTTTGTAGATCCAGCCCAGTAAAGAATACTAAAAGATGACTTCAAAAGGACCCACTGGGGGAAGAACTAGTGAAATCCAAACCGTTTTCTAGAGGTCAGCTTAAAGAACCTTGTTTTGGCGCCCCAAGCAGGCAAGGGTTCCATTTCAGGCGGTGCCGCCCACAGCCTGGCGCTGGAGGCGGCGGTGCAGAGCGCCAAAGCGGAAAGCCACCTCTTCGTTGCGGCTGCGGGGAATTTGGGCAACAGCCCCTTGGATCCGTTTTTGTTTTCTCTCCTTCTAATAATGCTAATAATAGTCTTAAGAATAATTATTAATGAGATTAAAATAATAATAAGAATAATAATAATATTAATAATAGTAATAATAATACATCGCGGTGCTTCGGATTCGCGCCGAGTCGGCCATGTTTTTTTCACGATCCGAGTTGGATTTGGTTTTGGCGATATTTTTTGAGGCTTACCCCTTGTCCGGTGAGAAGCGTTGGGCTCGGCGTGGCCCATTTCTGCACTCCTTGTTCCCTCACCCCTTGGACTCGGTTTGATGGGAAATGCTTATTGGTGGAACCAAAGGCTGAACTTCAGTCTCTTTCGCGGCTTCGGCCAATTTGGGGAGCTGGGGCGTGGGGGGCGCGTCAACTACGTGGAGAGGGGGTTTCCCATTCTGAAACTGGCATGTAATGAATCCCCCTTACTGCTTTCCCTCTAGCCTCCCCTCCAGCCTAATGATAGAAGTGCCCGCGCTGGACCGTCCCTAGGCTGCAATCAAAGCTGGGGAGTGCGCAAGCCAACAATCACACACAAGGGTAAGGGGCTCGGAAAAAACGTGGTGCTCGTCCAAACGGTCACCCCTTTGCCAGGCACAAAGAACCGTCAAATGGTATTCAGCTAGTTAAGGAATTAAAATCCTTGAGGCGAGGCCAGCTGGTTTAGGGGTTTTGCATTCCCTAATCCTAAGTCTGTATCGGCAGATGAGGGATCTGGAAGAAGCATCTATGAAAGAGGGGCAGTTCTTGAGATTGATAGGGACCTTTTTTTTTTTTTGGTTGAGTGACAAAAGAATCCATTGTAATGTGCATAATTCCTTTGCTTCTTGGACAGATGTTTTGGGTTCAATTTGCCGTGTACCAATTCCTTTTCCACCGTTCGGGTCAACTGCGATAGACAGGATTTGGCACCTTGTAATCCGAATTGTATCGCGGGCTCGTGACGCGCGGGTGTTCCCTACCCCCAAGCCGCTGGAAAATGGATGGCCTACCCTTTTTATTGTGTCCATATGGTGGTTGCATGACCATTTTTCTCTTGGGTCGCTTTCGCGTCGCGGCTCGCAAGGTAACGACTTCATCCCCACCTACCCCTGCAACTACGAGGCCGCGCTCTGCGTGGCTGCCACAACGCCCACCGAGGAGCTCGCAGACTACAGTGTCGCGGCGGGAGGAAGAAAACCAAGCAGAACGGGCGGAAAGGCGGCGGTTGGTGCCAGAATTGTCAAGACCCTTTTGTCATCTTGAATGTTGTTTTAACCTAATTCTGGTCATCGAGATCCTGTGATATAGTGGTTCCACTTGGGGCTTCCTAGTTAGACTAGACCTTGCCCATCTTTTTTCTATAAAAAAACCTAGGGTCCTCCCCACACTTTTAGCAACATTTTAAAACAGCACCTCAAAAAGCACATTTTCAAAAATCAACATTTTAAAGCAGGTAATTTCCTAGTAAGTTCATCCATATTTTAAAAAATAAATTTTACAAAATTTTAAAAAAATAAATTTTACAAAATTTTAAAAAAGAAATTTTAAAAAATAAATCTTAAAAAATAAATTTTACAAAAAAAAATAAAAAATAAATTTTACAAAAAAAAATATAAAAAAAAATCAAAAAAATTATTCCAAAAATTATGATAAATTATTATACAATAAAATTTATCACAATTTTTGTAGACATATTATGGGCAAGGTCTGGTTCATTCGTTTTTTACGGGCACCATTCTTTCTTAATTCTTTCTATTATTTTATCACACGTTGTTTCATTATAAATATTACTTCTTATTTGTTTTCTAAACATTCCCATTATTCCAATTGCACGTGTTATTGTATATCTAAGTTCGTGAGTTTTATACCGATCATTTAAAACCTCATGTAAAAAATCAAGGTCATTATCATTCAATGTTTCATATTTTAAACGTTTAATGCTAGAAGACATATTGTATAATCTTTTTACCATGCTATAATACTTAAAAATAAAGTCATTAGCGTTTCCTTCATCATCGCCCTCATATAATAAATTATCAAACCCTTCTATAGTTAAGAAATTATTCATTTCAATAAACACAAATATTTCTAAATCATCATCAATAGTTTCATTATTTCTAATATCAATATCTTTGTTATTCATATCATCAATTTTGTTTATAATTCTATTACAATTATTGCATATCATATATTGACAAATATAATTACAAACGCCATTTGTAAAACCCTGTTCAATTGGTAATTTTAGCATTTCGCAGTCTTCACATTTATAACTCATAAACTTTTTTTCAATATATTTTTAGCATCATGGACTGTATCACTCATCACACTATATAATAGTATTATAAAATATTTCTTTAAATACTTTTACAAGAATTTTAATTTTAAATTAAAATTAAATTAATAAATTAAAATTAAATTAGGTTATGTAGATAAAATTTCATAATTTAAGTTCAGGATAATAATTTAATTGATGACTACTAAGTTGTATATATAACTTATGTCTTTCATGCATTATTTTTAAAATAATATTAATATCTCTCACTGTATTTTTAACATTAAACTTTTTACTTTCAATATATGTTTTAATGTCTTCTTTTACATCAAAACCTTCCCTACTATAATAGGTCAACATCCATAATATACCTTCAATCATTTTATATTTTTTCTTACTGATTTTTAGAAATATTCTAACATAACTATAAGGTGGTCTTCCGTACACAGTTAAAAATATTAAAATGTCATCTTCAACATTTCTTTTATCTATTTTTTTAATCTCCAAAATATTTTCTATTATATTTTGATATCGTCGCCATCTTCTGCAAGTTCTACATACATCTTCTTCGTCCAATGCATAATCAATAATATTATTCACTATTCCATTATGTAAATTCAATTTATACAATTCCATATTTTCCTTTTTAAAGTGGCAACAATCATAGCATTTTTTATTGATATAACTATTGATTTTGGTTTTCATCATCTCACTATATAATATCTATAGGTAATATTTCTTTAAATACTTTTTACAAGAAATTTAATTTTAAATTAAGATTAAATTAAAATTAAAATTATATTATCATAATTAAATTAAAAATTATCATCATTTACAACTACAATTACATAATTTACAAAATGGGATGATATTTTCTATTGTATGAGTTAATTCATTATCTTTTCGTTGTGCTGTTAGATTTGTAATGATATTACCATTTTTCATATCAATAGTAAAACCACATCCGCAGTAGTTACATTGATTATTTATATTATCTAGAAACCATTGAGTATTTACATAACCTTCTCTAGGTATGCTTCTTTTTGCTTTCCTGTCTTGTTCCTTATAATTCAAAACTTTCCTTTCAAAATAACTCATAATACATTTTTGATTAAATACATCATCAACATCCTTTGTATATTTATAAAATTTGACTTTGTTTAAATCACGAGCACGTGTTACTGCTGTAAAAATCCATTCTGGATAATTCTTTACCAAAAAATGATTATAATCAAAAATTGTTATGGTGTCATCAATGCTACTACCTTGAGTAGAATGACATGTAGAGCAAGAAGAAAATATAAAATTGCTTCTTATTTTAGCAACTTCTACGGATTGTAAAATTTCGGTTTTTACATTTTTTAATGTAAATATTCCATCACTTCCAATATGAACTATTTTATATTTGAAATTTACATTAAAAACTGATGTTTTAGTTTTAGTATATTCTCTACAAATTAAAAATTCTCCTACTTCATATTCATCTTTTCTATTTTCTAATTTTCTAATTTCATTTGATACATTTTTACAAGTTGTATTCAAAAATGCTATGTTGTTTTTGGAACTACTTATGTCTGTGGTGTATTCAAAATATTTTTCAATAATAGTTTTAATTGGTAATTTATTAATAAAAATATCATATTTTATATTCTTGAGTTTATCCTTATCTTCCTGTGTGTTAAGTCTCTTACATTCTTTCAATATTATATTATGTGTAAAAATATTATCTATAATATTGTCAGTGTATAATTCATAGTCTTGAGTATTTGTTATTTCTTGCACTGGTTTTAATTGCTTGGTGTCTCCTGTTGCTATTATAATTTTGTTGTGCTTATTCTGTTCTACAAATTGTTTTATTCTCCAGTATATATTTAAATTACTAAAATAGATTTCATCAAATACTATTACATCAAATTCTGTAAAATCAAATGGTTCTAATTTAGCATCTCCATAATTAATACCAAAGAATTTATTTATCGTCATTGCTTCTCCTTCAAATGCCTGTAATAGTTTATTAGTAGGACAAATAAAAATTACCTTATAATTTTTATCAACCATTTTTTGACATATATATGATTTTCCTGTGCCCGGTAGTTCACCTCTGATCATAATAGGATTATTCTGTTTAACAATCTCTATAATGTTATCAGTGTCGTATTCATCTTTAATATCAATAGTTTTACTTTCATAAGCTGGTATGTTTATTAATTCATTATTTACAACGTTAAATTTTACTGTAGGTAAATTAATTTCATCTCTCTGCTTTGAAACTTTCCAACCTCCTATATCATCATGAAATTCTAATAATTGCTTTGTTTTTTCTTCATTGCATGTATCAATTACAAAAGCATCTGTTTTTACACTATATATATTAATATTATTAGTTATTAGTGTCTTAAAGTCTTGGTTCATTTTAAAATTGTGATGTTGTAAAAGTAATTCTTTAATATATCGATATCCGTTTCTTAATACTGCCTTATCCTTCAAATTCAATATATAATATGATGCCTTTACATCCCATTCATCCTCATCAAATCCATAATATGTTGTAGTTGCGCCTCCTTCGTCGTCATATTCGGTTATCATTTCGGGATATTCGCTTATAATATGCGATAACTTATTAATTTTACCTCCGTATTCTGTTTGATAATGGACTGCTTCATCAATACTTTTAAATAAAATACTTTGATGTGCTGTAGCACCTCCTTTTTCTAATAATCCAAAATTTACATTTGCTATTAACTTTTTAATTAGTTTATCTAATGCTTCGTCATGTTCATCTATATTTGTTTGTAAAAGTTCATTAATAATATTTGTATATTCAACCTTATGAATAAATGAAGGTTGTTTATAATATAAAATATTGATTTTGTGTGTCTTATTCTCATTGATGAATTCCTTTAAAAACTTGCCATATACTAGATTATATTTTTTGTTGAAAAATAAGTTGTGATTACCACTTATTACAATGTTTCTAATTGCTTGTTTTAATTCATCAGGATTTAAAAACAAACTTAAATCATGTGTTTTACGAAATTCTATATAAGTAGCAACGTCAATACCTTTACTATATGCAATAGAATATATCATCTGCTTGGTGTGTTGATTTTTCTCTATTAGTTCCTTAATGCTGTCCATTGTTGTTTTTAACGGTCTTACATTTGTGTCTATAGTTTCAACATAATATAAAGTTAATTCATGGAGTTCATCTATTTTAATTTCATCGTTGTATTTTTTCCAATGGTCAAACTGGTTAAATACTGGTATTTCCCTAATATTTAAAAAACCTTTAGTAAATGCTTTATTTACATCTATTTCTGTTTTATAAACTAAATTGATATTACTCAATAATAACCCCGAAGGTGCTATACTTCTTGTTTCATTTAATATTTTAATATCAATGTCGTTATAAAAGGATTTATGCGATGACATGAATAAGGATTTATTGAAATTAAACATTGCTTTGTTCATATTGTTGTATGTAGTTTCATTGCTAACTGCAATCCATCCATCACCGGAAGATTTAATTAAATTTTGAGTTTTTATGATATATGTTATCTTGTTCAATCTTAATCTTATTTCATCAATAATACCTGTGTATATAATTCTGGGTTCATATCCAATATTCAACAACTGGAACAATAATTCTGCCAAATTATTATTTTCAGGCACTAAATATATTTCCTTTGTTTTATCATCAGTTTCAATTTTAAGTATATCATCTATACATTTAATCATTTTGTATTGTGGCGGTTCTTCTCTTTCATTTATATAATAATCAGTGTGTGCCTTTATAGTGGGTAGTTTCGTTATTAATTGCTTCTGTTGTATCTTACTTAAATCATGGTTTAATGTGTAAATATGGCTATTCTTCACCATTGCGTAAAAGGTTTTTATAT